ACCTCGCCGACCACTTACGCACTGAGTCGAGAAGCCACCGCCCTTACATCGAGGTTTACTAATGAAGCAAAAATGCCTGATTTTCATGCCCTTGAGAACATCATTTGAACCAGTTTCAAATCATCGTAGACCATATTTCAAAAAACATTAAATGGCAGATTATTTGTCGAGAAAAAACCTTTGAAATGTTCAGTCGAATTTAACAATCTATGGGGCATATAATTATTGCGAAATTAGCACGCCAACTTCACAACGACAAAAGAGGCAGTTTTCTTTAGCAAAGCAAGAAAACCTGTCCTAATGATGGTATGTTGGTGACTGAATGAATGTAGAGCATTCCGTACAGTACTGAATGCAGAATGAAAGCGTCATCCACAAAGGCTGAAAGTGTTCACAGTTGTTCATAATAACCTTGAACGGGGTACACCACTGAAAAGGATTTGGAGCAAACCAAGTAGGGCTGGAGAGAGCTTCCATGTGTTTTCATGATCAATTGTCGGCAACTCCCCACAGGAAAGAATCATTTGGCCAATGCAAATGAATGAAATTTTTATATAATGAAGAACCTTAAGTGGAATTGATGGGTTGCAATCCTTGGGACATATTACCCTACAGCAATTAACTAATTTGTTTTCGGAAGAATGCAGTCGATAAGGGCACAACTCAACAACGAAATAACCATTGATGATATGGTTGCTTCTTCCAAAGAACGTGGATGATCTAACGGGCGAAGTCATTTTTTTTCCAACCACTTTGGTGAGCTTCATCTTTGTTGCAATCGAGATGGAATGGCGTGTTAGTCTGAGTGAGAATTAACAACAACTCCTTCCCATTACGAGCGTGGAGTCGATGTTCTCTCTAATTGCGAAATAGCTGACAAACTGACGCCTAAGTGGAACTTGCCACAACGCCTCTCAGGATGTTGACTATGAGCACGGCCACCTCTATCTCATACATAATGTTCTGTAGGGACTTTCAGATCTTTAAACCTAGAAACATCTTGTAGAAAAAAATGTAACGAAAAGAGATAAATGAATTCTCAAGGTGACAAACACCGTGTGGGTAGAAGTGGAAGAAAAGAGAAAAATAACCATAAAATAAGGCGTGTGCATGATCATTTCACTACTCGAAAACGCTGAAGGATTTCGGCATGTCCCAGAGGTTAAAAACTCCTATAAGTTTTCCCAGATTTCTTCACCTTATAAAAAGTTGTATGTCGAACTTATGAAATATATGGAAAAGGTAAGACCATCCAATCCAACGAAGATGAAAACTCGGCAGCAAATACACGAGAATATTTCAAATTCGTTCGCAACGACTCGTTGCACTTGGCGTCACGAAACAGCAGAAGATAAGTTAATGTCTGATTAGCCAGCGATAACAGACGGCGAGGAAATATTTTTGAATTGTTTTTTTGTCGTCCACATCGATGAAAGCATCCTTTAGTAAAAATAACACCTCAAACTCTACTTAAAACTCAAATTTCTAGGGTTCACCTTCTGTAAACCTTTGCAAATTCAGCGGAACATCGTTATAAAAGTATACCTGGCGGTGAAATATAGAGTGAGGACCTGCGCCAAAGGATTATCATTTGACTCACATTTACTCCACGCTCGCCCCACCTCCACCCTTCTTTTTATTGGTCTCATTTTTCTCTCTATTTGTATTTCATTAGGACACGTGTGGTGCAGTGGTCGGAGGCGTCCTACAACACACACGTGGAATCGATCTCGGCACCCATGGCCCACCAAGCCTTCTATACCTTCGAGATCGGCAAATTAGTACCGGAACTTGTCTGATAGGATAATAGCACTGGCTCGATACATCGGTGGGCCACCGCGAATCACTGTAACCGCGTAGAAAAACAAAGCACTAAACGCAATCCAAAGTGCAATACATTGGTCCATAGCCTTACACGAGGTTGTTACAAATCTTCATCACAGTTATCGTTTCTGGAGTTTGACCTTCATCAGAGCCAGGACGATTCGAGTTTAGAATCTGCAGCAGTTATTTCTTCTCACGATGACAGTCTTTGGAGCCTTCACATCGAGTCGAATTGAATAGAGTGGAGCATCGTACGAATGAAGTAGCACTAGTCAGAACAGCTCTTTTATGCAAGACTCGGGCAGCTCTAGAGTAATATGACCTCACCTATCAGTTTCCCAGAGTACAGGATACTCTTTGGTCAATTTCCAACTAAAATACTTTCTTTTAGGATCACAAGCCATGCATGCTGCACCGGAATTAGTATTAGCCAGCACACAGCTGAACAAAAATGTTGACACCGAGTTTCGCTGAACCTCGACATGGAGAATCAAGGTTTTGACTTACTAATAAGCTTACAATAAGCTTACAAAAAGTTTGTGGTACCGTTGTTATTCGTCTACTTTATCCCTTTCCTAAGAAGATTGTGTTATAGAAAACGATGCATCTCGGGAGTTATGTGCTAACATTAAGCAGTATAGCCGTATTGAGAATAAAGTTCTGAAAACCTCAGCGCGGTCTTATTATGGCTCTAATTATTCCGAAGTGATATTGGTCACTGTTTGCTCTGTTATTTAAATCTATAACACTCCAAAACAACGTAGTAGAAAGGTGATTTGAAGACTTGAAGGTGACTTCAATGAAATTTATAGAGTCAGTTCTAAAATCTCCTCTATCAGAATCTCCTTAAGGTTAGCATATCTTTGAATTTAATGAAAAGCATTTAAGCTCCATAGAAAGATCAGCTGTTGGTCGAGCTTATTTCAAGAGTAACCAGGCGAAATTACAGTTACCAGAGTAAGCGTTTTTTTTTAATTTCTTTTTCATCATTCAGGCATAAACATCAATTGGAAGCGTTGCTTCACTGATTAATTTGGTGGTTGGTGGTACAAATGGTTTGCACTTTACCTTTTAATTGTGATAGATGAAATTGCGCACACCACTACGACTAAGCATTCTGTATTCTTCTGACTCGATAAGTCAGAAGGCCAACATTTCTGTTAAATGCCTTGTTGTGGTTCACTTTTCTTTCCCAAAGACCTATGAAGGAAGATGTGGGCGGTCCGCATGTGAAAGTTAGATCGCAGTATATCTCTTGAAATGATTAGTATTTCAGGAAAAAATGTCAAAGGAAGACCTTTAATGGCGACATTTCTAGACAATTTGCAAAAACTACTCCGTAGAGGTCTCTAAAACAATAAGCAGTAATTTAAGAAATACAACCTTTGTTAAATTCGAGACCTTTCAACGGAAATGAAAAAGATTTTATTTTTATAGACTATTTTAGGACCAGATCTATACCGAGGTAGAGCATAAGGTCGAGGGAACTGCCTGCAATACCAATGTCGTATTTTGTTAGCATGTACCGTTGGCTTCAGACGATTCGTATGAAACTTCAATGACGGAAGAAGAAAAAGTGATAAGCCGCTGTCTTCGATAATCACCGCTTGAGATGATTAACGAAGCTGATCATCCACAAATTTTGAGAATCTTCCCAATAACTATCTGAAATAAGAAAACAACGGTTCCAAAATTTTCATGTCTAAGTGAAGCGTAGAAGAACGATAAATGATAGCCGAATAGACTGAATAGTGAGGCACAATGTTAAAGAGAGCACATCCATGATTCTCTTTCGTTTCAAAGAACACAATGTAACATGCGACAAGAAATGGTCTCTACAGGACAATCGGAAAGATCCGGTACAAGGTCAGTGGAAGAAAGAAGAAGTCGTACTTCTGGAAGCTGTGCTTGCATCAAAAAAGATTATGGCGATTTTCTCAGACTTGGAAAACTAAAAAAGTCATGCCGTAACTTTTAGAGTATTGGCCGATTTACCATAGAAGATAGCGTTGCCAGAAAATCAAAGACCCAAACTACGAAGAAAAGTACGTTTGATTCCTGTTGCACAAGAACTCCCAAGCACCCATTGCACAGCCAGCACTGTAGATTTTTCCTCCTCTTTACAATTATTAGCTGGGAAACTCTTTAACACTACCTCTGTTAAAAACGCCTTTACGAAAATTGCGTGCTCAAGAGACACTGGGTTTTTATCAAAGATGAAAAGTGCAAACCTGGGGATAGTCGGTAAGACACTAAACTGACTTTATTTGGATCATTGAGGTTTGACATAACCTCGAAAAGATGGGCTAGAAGGTTAATATTGAAATGGATGGAACTTTTGCTACAACACAGCTCTTACTTTTATTGGAGGTTTTTTGCTATCTCAATATCGTTTGTTAATGGCCGGATGCATTCTGGCCACTGAATCTCTAATTGCATTTCCATCTAATTTAATTTAATGTTAGTTTGGTAACTAACATCAATTAGATACATCGGCACAATTTTGCCCCAGATAATTGCTTGGGTATCCCCTCATTCTCGAATCGCTTTATAAATCCTGTGTAAGACAATCCTTATTTGTAAGAAGTAACGCCGTGGATCTCCCCCTGTGAACTCGATACAATTAGCTCCAATAATGCAGTGAGCTCAATGGCGTACCTAAAACGAAACCGTTTCCCGAAAGAATGCAGAGGGCTTCACGGTCTACCAAAATAATTGGCTATGAGATCCAGTATATCTATGCGTGCTTTAATAGAGGTGTTTTTGCTTTCTCACTGCGTAAGTAAGACAGTTCTCTGAGTGTAAAGTTAAGTAACGTTAAGTAACGATGGTTACTTTCATACTAAGAACAACAAATACGAACCCAACACGAGATGTTTAATGTTGTCTAGGTATCTAGAGCCAGCAAAATTCAATGTGCCCCTTAGTCGACAAAGACAAAGGACATTTCGCTGATATCTGCTAAATTTAATCAGTGATAAACGTGTTGACAAAAACACAGATGAAAGACAAAGATGGTTTTTAAAATTTTTACAATTTTTATTGAATGCAACGAGTCATTAAACATGTTCTACACATAAAAAATTAACCGCTTAGGTACCAACTGTTACTGATATTCATCAATTGCTTATTGGTCTGCTCATTTTTCTCTACGGATATCAGGTTTGTAATTGGGTTCAGCCGCTGCCGCAATGCTCTTCGAGTAGAGGTCCAGCCTTTGGGTCATCTATAAGTTCGCATAATGTATGATATGAGTTGTCCCATACTTTTAAAACATCTACATTCATTCCTAAAAGACTTCCGAGAACAATGCACACTTCCTAATATATTTCACTTCAATTGCAGTTCGGAAAGCAATTGAATTACTCACTCTAAAGCACAGATGATCCTTAGCCTGTCTGCATAGGTTGAGATCGATCTCAACTATTAACACGCCGTCTTTAGTGCGAGAAAGCCCCTAAAAAACTTTTATTACGCCTAGAAAACGTTGTCACCCTAATGTTTTGTATCCTATTCATGGCTGAAGTGTGTTTCTGGGTATCGAAAAGTGACCAGTTGATGCTCTCGCAACCAAGTAGCTTAAGTTGACAACAACATCTCCCGTCGAAAGACCAGCTCGGAATAGAACATTGCTCTCTTTTAAGAAATCTACTTACAAGGTGACAAGCCTAGCGCTACAGGGACACTCTCGCAGTGCTATGTTGAACCTCTAAAGAAAAGTTTTGACAAAGTAGTTTAAAGGAAGATGAAGTATAAATCAATACGTTTTATATATACAGTAATTTATAAAGTGTGGCCGTGGTGTAATTCAAGATGTAAGTAATTTAAGGATGTAAATTATGAATGTATGTGATATATTGCACATTATGACGATAAATTGTAGTAAATAATACAATATGAAGGTAAATTTGTATCAAGCTTATTACTACGTGCTGAAATACTCAGGTTAAGAAACATTGTCGTAACATCGAGGAGAACTTTTTAGGCAGTCTAAATGCGCCAATTTGCCAAACCATGTAAAACTGCTATCATCCCATTTATGTTTTATGTATTCTTATTTATTTATGTTTTGAAACCATCTATCAATTATATAAAACTACCTATTTGGTACCCAATCTAAACGATGACTTCCAGGTGTCGACGTGGGATGACCGACAGCGTTACGGTTAATAGATTATATAAGGGACTATCTAAAATGCTTCAAACTGCTTAATTGCATGATGCCTTGCATTACTAAGCAAGTATCGGACTACGACGATGCAAACGGTTCTTCTGGTCGCAGAGTCACAATGCTGAAGTGTTCAACATTCTCATAGCCCAATCCTTAAGTAAATCTTCCAAGATGTTTCGTCATCGCGGGAAATACCTAGTCATAGGAGCCAAACCTCTTAATAGCTATTGACAGAAAATGTAAAACACCTGTGTTCTTACTATGTTGTTCTTTTTCATAAGAGCTTATTATAATGCTAGTATGACGAAAGTAGTGAACAACGAAACGCTCGGTCATTGAAGTCTTTTCTCCAGAAATGTACGAGATCGTAGTCTCTTTTCTGAGGTCTAACAATACCTTAGGCACACTTACACATCAAATATATGCAGAATAAAACTTAACATGGGATAATAGGGTAAATTTGGGGAAAGCACAGTGATGCCGAACATCACGAGCACGGTGCTGATTTGATTCCGGTTCCTGCTCACCAATCTTCCCATCGCTCCGGCATCGGGAAATCAGTTTCGGACTGGTCTGGGAAAAGTTCACTCCGTGCAATCCAGGTAGGATGGCTTCAGCACGGCTGTTTCAGGAGTCCAGTGGGCATCAACTTGACCAACACTCAACGACATTCACGATGAAAAAAAAAATCATCAAGTGGCAGCTGAGACCACATACAAAAAGCTGGAAGACCATTGTGAATGGTGGATGTGTGGAAGCGAATCGAATTCGAGAGGTGCTGGGATCCGCACAGTAAATGTGAAAGACGGGTCATGTCAAAGAAAGGAAACTGGATTTATGTAACAGAGTATGTAACATTGCTGAACAAGAAAACGACATATTCATATTCCAATGCCGAGGTTAAGAGAAAGTCGATCCTGGGAACTATTATTTAACAATGTTCCACCTACGGTGTTACTTACCGGTGTGCGACTTCCATCTGGAGCAGCCACATACGCGCTGCCGTAAAACATTCCGATCTCCTTGTGTGCTGCAATATTATTTGTTTTAGCGCCTCGGTTTCTTCGTTAATTCACAGAAAATTTGGCTAGAGAACAACCGATGTCACTCATGTAAAGCTGGAAATTGGCGGCACAACCTCATCAACAACTGGGAATGTGTCAGTTTGAGACATGAGTGCTAAAGATGCTTGAAACCATAGTGAAAACTAAACCTGGACGACCATCTCCTGAGGTGAACTCATTAGGAAATGATTCTCTGCCTACTCGGTTGATGGCTACAGTAAAGCAGTGATTGGCAATCGCCGCACTTCGAGCTTCTATAGGCCACATGGGCTCACTAAATTCAAATTTTAAAAGATTGAGGATTTCTAAGAGCAACAGTTGAAAGATACGTCACTATGAAGACGTAAAGATTTGCGTTAAGTAAACAGTTGTTCTCTTTCAAAATAAAACCGTAAGCGGAATTCTTGAACACATTCGTGCTGGATCGCCAGTACTATGAAGGTGTCATAACCTTAAAGTCCATAGATTACTCAAATCGCGCAACTAATGAACGTGCGAAATAGGCTATAAGAACCTAGGCGAAGCACTCAGCGTATCATAAATTCAAAACTTTCAAAAAGAAGTATTAAAAACCTAGAAGTAGGGCGCCTATGCTTTAGTTCCAAACTCTTTGAAAGGATGCGGAATTATAAGAGTAAACGCACTATCCTCTCAACTAAGAAAAAAGTTTTTGTGTAGAAGGTGACTGCCATGCTAACAAACCATTTAATTATCTGATCCGTCACCTTAGAAAAACTCCCAAGTGTCCAATGTCAATACGCAAAACAGCGGTGCCGTGTTTTTTCCCACTTTGTCTTCATTTCAGCTAAAGTATTCTGTGCCTTGTTCACTTTCAGTGTACGAAATTAACAACAAGCGCGAAAAGGGTTCTACAATTAAGGGCTGTCTCAAAAGAATCAAAAGGTACCAGTGTTCCAGAATTACTGAAAAAACACTTAAGAAAAAACAGATGCAATTTTTGATTCCTTTATGATTTCAGTATCATTTTGATTTCCCCACTAGCTTTCCCTTTAGAATCGTTTCTCATCACAAAACTCGTTGGAGGCGCAGAAGAAAGCATAGTAGTGGGCCGAAATGTCCGTTTTTAAGGAGAAACACAAAGTTTCTGGCATGGGTCAGAAATAAAAGTGCTGAAAGGCGTTCATAAGCTCCATTCAGTTAAGAAATTCTGCTGTAACACTGAAATTCCATGACTCGCAACCTCTTCGGGAGCTCGACCGTATCCATGAAAGGCTCCTTGAAAAGAGATCTACTGTTTACCTGAAATTTTCGACGACTTCAGCGCAAGGATTAAAGATGATCTCGGCTCCATTAAGAGCGTACATCATCCAGTTTAAAGGGTGATGACGACCGTAACACACGTTGATGGCGATTTTTCCTGCAATTACACTCGAAAATTAATTTGCTGGTAGACTTCCTATGTTTCATTTCACCATCACAAATAGTTGCTCCTATACGGTATCTATCTTGACACTATGTCTATGTAAGTATATCTGCTGCGGTACAGTTTTGTTTTTTTATGTCCTTTCAACTTTATTTTTTTCAATCAAGATCGAATCACATAAACTAACGACAAACCACCATTAAAAGCCTTATCAACTCGTCGAAAATGGTGTCCTGATTTAAAGATAAAATTCTGATCTCAGGTTTTTAACGCGATGACCCCATGATTATTTTTTTAGACAAGTCGCCAATTTACCGGTTCAGGGGGTATGGAGGGCCTCTGTGAGCCATGGGCGCGGGGATCCATCCCATGTGCTTGTCGCAAGGCGCCTGAGCCGCACTCGCCCTTTACGAGCCATAGTCAACTATTTTGCTCCACCAGGAATGAATGATCAAGCAACCTTAGAATTAAAAGTAGTTTGCTGCTACGAAACTAAATCAGGCAGTTATTTGCAAATTATAACGTTTGGGAAACAACTTTCTTTCTTCGTTCTATGTCTGATAGAGGAAAAGACTCTGTCAGACAAAATATGTGCCTGGAGAGGGAATAAGGCATATGTAAGTCACATGTCGTCTGCTTTGTTCTATAATATTCATGTGCCTGCTCTGGTGGTGCCGAGAAAACGTAGTTCATGACTAAATTTTTTTACTGCTACTTAGTTTAAGAGAGATGTGCACCGAATAGGGTAGCTCTGGCTTGTATTTTAACCACTGCTCCTTTTTCCAAGTTAAAAGCATTCAGAATATGAAGAAACAGTTCAGCTTACTATCTCGCTCACATGAACGTATTTTTCCACTTTTGTTGCCCACAGATCATTTCCGTTGACAGATCATTCTTCAAATCTGATGGAGTGAAAAAACTATAGCTGAGAAAAATGAAAGGAGGAACCTCGGTTGGCGTGGTGGATAGCTTCGCTCACATTTCAGCATCCCAACGGTTGAATTTCTTTATTGTCTGTGCATATTCCTTTTAAACTCATTTCAAAACACCGTTTGCTGGTGTCGTGATATCATCTTCATAACTGCGTTCACCGTAATAATGAGTAATGACTTTTTAAGCTACAAGCAAAGAGCACAGTGGGCAATGATTGCAAAAGTGTAGATCTTCTTCTGCTGACGCTTGATGAGATTCTGGGCCATTACGTTGATGAGCCACAGTGGCACAGAATGCCCGTGAAATATCAAAGGGCGAGTTTCAAATGTTTCAGTTTCCTCCTAACCTATGAAGCACAGCCCGTGTTGCTAGTTTTCTTTGCTAAGCACATTTCTGCAGCGTTTCTTTAGAAAAATTTTACTATCTGTCTTGTAAGCGTGTAATCCAGAGCGTTCCAGGAAACGAACTTAGACACTGTAGAACTCTCATTAGCGGATACTCTCGTGGCGCAGTTAAAATAGTACTACAGTGATAACAATATTAATGATAAGAATAACAATAACAACTGACTCATAAATTACATGTAAATACATTCTCTGATCTCTCAGGTTTCGAAAATGTCAACTGGCCGCACGGTGTTTGGAATTAGGTTACATGGCTCAGTTCACTGTATGGCCGGGTTACCAATGACTTTAACAATTATTGAATATGTGCTAAAGTATCTTACCGAATGCTGTCTCAAATACCGGGTGACCAAGCGACGATTCCATGTAGTAGGTCGACTGTAACACATAAATGTTATTCACTGTATATGCTAAAAATTTGACTGCAAAAATATGAAGTGTAAAAAGAAAAATGCTGTTGAGGAATGATGACAGAAGACGCAACAAGAAAGCAAACTTTAGAAAAAAACGAAAGATGTAATAGATTGACAGTCTGAGCATAACTTGACCTCTGCCCACTATTTCATCCGGTTGTGAGAATGAGCACTGAGCAGTGAGCCCATTTATTGTTGCTCTGGTTCAAAATCAAAATTCTGGTTTCCTCTTACATCACAGTAAGCTATCAGTGTGTCTTGTCTCATTGATAGTCTAACAAGAGGTTGTTACCACTTATTTAGTCGGTTAATTCGACTTCGACTTGTGGCCCAGTGGTCGCAGGCGCCCTACAACACACGTTGGATTAATTCCCACGTCCTGGGCCCACTAAGCCTTCCAGCCCTCCGGCGTTGCTAAATTGGTTCCAAAGTTATTTGGGAGAATAACAGAGCTGCCTCGATACATCAGTAGGCTACCACGATTTATTGCAAAGGCCAGATATTACCTCAATAACCTCCAACAATGTTAAGTGAAGTCCAATGCATGGCGCATCCGTCAGGGATTCATCAAAAGCTTTATCCTTTTATTTTTTGTGTTTCGATGTCAAAGCAGTCAATGGAACAGCTTATCAATGAAACAAGGTGCACTGATCCTTTATACCTAGGTTAAAATGAAAGTCGGTTTCCAATGATGCAGTAAATTACCTTCTAACACAGAAACTGGTAGAAATAACTTCCTTCTATTTCCTTGTTAAAAACTTCGATATAAATAACGGTTTTGGCTATTTCAGGAACATAAAGTAAAATGCTAGGAATCGATCCAGGTAATAAACAAGTTAAATTAAATTCTTTTATTAGTAAGTCGACATTTTTTCCGCTATGTCTGATAAGTTTAAATATTCCATTAAAGTCATCCAGTCTCAGACCAAAATAGATCATAATTCCAATGAACATCTTTTGGAAGAAGAAACTCTGGAAAACTTACGAATGTAAAATTGAAGAACAAACTTAAGAGTACGCTTAGCTATCCAAGTTCTCAAAGTTCCCTTAGAGTAACCTAATTTCTACCTATTTGACTACAATATAGCTCAGCTCTCCAGATTACATGTTTGAGAAAGTTTTTTTTTCAAGATTTTTCAGAGATTGTTAGAAACCCTGATTACCTCAGAAAAGTCTCCAATTCGAGGAATATGATTCTTCCTGCTCTTTCCAATTACATTTCCCGTGTGAGAGATAACCACTGCAGCATTCCATATTACATCGTCTTTCGACTCGTCTCTTTCCAAAATCGACGACACGATAACAATACCATACTTCGCGGCCAACTGAAATCACATCTATTGTTACCAATACTAAAGCATTATAAATACCTTTCGAAGAGGGAACACCAGATGTTTAGTGGCGACGCAACTTGGCACGTCTCTAGGTGACCCATAGTGGGTCAAACACTGATCTTAAGCGATCTCGGGCTTCCCTGAGCGGCAAATAGGACACATGGATAAGCTGCTCATTCTGCAGCGCTGACTTGAGCTATTTCATATGTACTTGCGTAATATGTTCATGCACACAAGCGTGGATGCACACGCTTTTAGGCAAATCGTGTTGTCCAAACCGTCTTCGCCAAAAACCTGGTATTGAGTTTTTGGGAAGTACATGGGAGCTATGTGTGAATCGACGTCAGCAAATAAACACAACGCTTACTCTGCGTGATATCAGTAAACGGTCTGTGTGTATCAGTGGCGAAACGCAGTTGAATAGATTGGGGTTTATCTTACGACCTCAGAGAGGTCCCCATGCCAAAGTATTGAGCAGAACGAGTACGGAGAGGCTGATAAAATTTCACAGTCATTCTACAGTCTAGATCTGAAAGTATAAAACGACAATCAGTATTTGTAACGCATGCACACTCTCGCCCTTCTACTGAGGACCTGATGATGCAAGCTAAAAAAAGTGGGTACGACGTCATCGTACTGACAAATATGGTCCTCATTTAACGTCGTCAACCAGACGATATTAACATCGCCATGAAAAAAAGAGTTACGCAAGGCGATACCACCCCGCCGAAATTATTTATGAACACCCTCGAGAACGTCATGCGAACATATTGGAAAGGAACACAATCTCAACCTTGCCAATGACGTCATTCTCATAAACACCAAGTGCATGTAAGCCAGGCGGAACGATTGTTTTCCTTCTTAGCGCTAGTGGAAAGATTGATTTTCGAATAAATCCCATAAAAATGACGCTCATGCAAAACGGTTTTGGTTTTTTCCTAGTATCGACTTTATTAACCTCGGCATTGGAATATGAATGTGTCGTTTTCTTGTTCAGCAGTCGCGAGGTTGTTAAACAGCGTACATTTACTTCCATAGAAAAACACAATACAATACAACACTAGCTGACATTTCAGCAGTATCGCTTTCTTCAGAGCCTGGAAGGGTATGCTGATATACAATCTACTAGGCCAAACGCTTTAGTAACACTTACATAAAGACGAAAAACTCTTTGGTAATTACATGATCGAGAGCTTCTCGAAAAACTCGCCGCTTGTTACGTGACTTCCAACGAGGAAGATTAGAACAGCTGATTATAGTCGCATGTGGTTGACGTCTGCACCATCCCACGTCGAAATTGACGCGAACATACGGGTTCAGGCCGCGAATGGGAGACACGGGAGAAACCGAGAAAAACTGGCTTCCGTTTTTGAACGTTTAAATAAACCAACCAATTAGCGGTTACTTGACAAAGTGGTACCGAAAGCCAAGTAACAAGAACATCCTGGTTCATTTCCTTTCTTCCCACCCTTCACACACAAAGAGGGCGCTTGTGGGAAGCATGTTTCTAACAGCCACCTCTGTGTGCACATCCAGGGAACTGAAGGAAGAATCGAGCGACTTGGCTCGGCAAATAGCCATCTCCAATGGCTACGAAATAGTAACCCCACGAGATAAGTTTACAAGGAGAACGACGGGCCTACGCGAAACAGTTGGCCAAAAGAAAGTCCCGTTTATGTTGCCTTTTATAAGTGATGAAGTAAGCGTAGCTATAAAAAGATGCTTAAGAAGGGCAAGTCTAGAGGAATCGGTAGCGATAGTTGAAATACCACGGGCTACTCTACGTCGCCAATTAGTTCGCAACCGCCTGTGTGACCGTCTATGTGAAACAACAAATTGCGTAATTTGCCCTTACGCAGGAACGGTGACTGCATGAATTCAGGTACGGTATACCTGATCTCTTGTAATAATTGTGGAGATGAATACATTGGCGAAACAGGCAGACTCTTGTGTATCCATATAAAAGAACACCGAGATAGCAAACGAAAACTAAGACAAATTACCCCACTGGGCACGCATGGGATACAAAGCATAGTGGAGATGATTTTGAAGTGAAAGTCAATATCCTTGCACAGGAGACTAAAACACTAGCGCGAAAACTTTTTGAGGCTTTTTGGATAGATGCCAAGAACCCTACAATGAATAGCAGGATGAATGCCCAGAGGTCATACGCGACCTGACCCCGTATGTTCGCATCAATTTCTTATGTAGGATCATGCAGTCATCAACCATATGCGACTATAATCAGCTGTTCTAATCTTCCCCATTGGAAATCACGTAAAAGGCAGTGAGTGTTTCGAGAAGCTGTTGATCATGTAATGGCCGTAGAGTTTTTCGTCTTTTCATATGTGTTATCGAAACGTTTGGCCAAATATATTGTGTATCAGAATACCCTTCCAGGCTATTAAGAAGGCAATACTTCCGAAACGTCAGCTGCTGTTGTATTGTATTGTTTTTCTTTGGTTTTTTCATTCACGCTCAACGGAACGAATCCCTTAATTGCTTCAGCTACGTCTATCTAGGTCGGAAAGGCGACATGGTGAACGGCTTAGCTCCAGGATTGAGCAAGAGGTCGTAAACCTGTTCGCTACCTAGGCCGAGCAAAAGATCTACCTGTGCTATTAAAAACGCTGTAGAAAGGACAATGCTGTGAATTTCGCGTATCACGCAAGCGAGAGGGTGGATCCGATGTTCTGACGTGCGTCACCGAAAACTGGTCCGAAAAAGCGATGCGCCCAAAATAAGCAAGACCTCATGCACAAGCTTATAGCAGGAAAACCACCGACCAGAGTCTTTCACAAAAGACTGCATGAGAAAAATACGATGCTCAGCCAGCTCCTGGAGCGAGCAGAACCTACTGTGTTACTCTTTAGCACGAAAAGAAGAAGTGAAGATTTTATTACTGCCCACTTAGGTCATTCGACAATCAACTGCTAGGAGAGGTAAAATTGGTGCTGGCCGCCATGCATGCTCCATGGTGATGTTCTAGTCGTTACGGAGATTTTTTAAATTGATCTTTTGATTTGTGCTTAAGACTGCTCACATTGTAATAAAATTTGCTGGCAGAGAAATGCTTTCCGTTCATGGACGTCACGGAATTCATGCGCTTTCATAGAATACCTACACAATAATCTGGTTACTTTCATACTCCGCTGACATAAAATGTCAAACATTGATTGGCCAGAATAGGAATGTCGTACCTGTGACAAGAATCTTGTAGTTGGGCCATGGTCGGCTGATTCGGCGAATTCGGTCCATGGAAGACGCTCACGAGTACAAAACGCAAACGGCATCGCTTAAAGGCAATCGTACGTGAATTTCTACATTAATGTAGTAGTGCAGGGGTTGAGAACTTCACTTTTAGAACAGAATTCGCTTTATCGGCTTGACAGTGTGTATGTTTTTAAAAGTATTTTTGCCATCTTAATTTCTGATTTTTACATGATGAATTTCATTGCCACATATTCTTCTTTGCACTTGGACGAGAATGGCCACGTACGCCACAACTCGTGGAAGCAGACGATGTTGGCGCCGGCGACGGCGGCGGCGTCGATCATCTTGGCCGCTTTGCAGTGGTTAGCTTTCCTCTGCTCTTCTACTGGAGCCGATGTCGGAGCGCCAATGGAGAACTGGATCGCCGCCACCCGAACCTGAAAACATTCATCAAATTTCTGTTTGCTGTGGGGTGACTGACAGCTTCTTCCGAGAGATTGGAGCTACTAGTTTTATGCAGTTCTAAACATTGGAATCTCTGGTGAAATGTCTACATATCAAGGGATCCGGACCGCAGGCTGCCGAATCTCACTTTTTATTTCGTTCCTAATTTAGTTCCCAGTTTTGTTAATAGCATAAAATTATTCTAGGTTCTCATTCGTGTCGTATTTTGTTGATGCCTTGGCAAAAGCTATCAAATTTTCTGATTTTTAATCCACATGCATTTTACGTTAAACTCACAACCTAAAATGAAACTAAATTTTGTCCATTCATGAGCATTTAGCAGACATTTTTTAAGGTTGCTTTCCTCCAAATCCGGTATCGATTTTTTGCTTGCGAGTATTGCCTTATTTTCGCTACTATTTAAAATTTTTCATTAAGATTGAAAAACGATGGACAGGAAAATCCTGAATACTTTTCGTGGAGCCCTCAAGTCTTCTTGCTGTGCAGTGATTTCGTACGCTCGTAGATCGAAGTTGTTTTTGGTTGCAATCATTAGAGCATCGTTTGGAACGGTTAGCTCTCTGAAAACCATGAATTATTTGGAATCATATTTTATTTGATAGACACAGAAGATGATTTCACTTCCTTACGGATGTTTACTGCCGTAGAGGATCCGCCGCACCTCATCGAATTCAGGGCCTTCCATTGCCTCCTTTAAAGCGGCGTCGACACTATCGAGAACGAATGACGAGGACATTTTTCTTGAAGACAAAGAACTTAAAGAAGGAATGAGAGCAACCGAGGCCTTGTAAAGAAAATAGTTTAAATGGAATAAGAAATCTTCTTATTTTACTGGAGAACGTAAGCAGGAGCTAAACGAGTTAAAGGCTTAGGTGAAACGGAAAGAAATTGCAGAACGGCTAAGCGGAATTACCATTTTTCTTGACTCCTCCTGTGATGTCCATTACAGAGACCAATCTTAGGAATGGGACTTAAGCCTAAGCGCCCTTCAAGAGGAGACTAACCGGCACAGCCACTCTGTCTCTCCCAATAAATGTTTTCATTTAGAAAGTAAGAAGTAAGCAGAACATTTTTCATTATTGATTTTGAAAACAACAAGTATTTCGACACTATTGTTTCCAAAAATTCCGAGTTTTGAAATTTTGGTATTTTGAATTTCAAATTTTCTCTAAATTTTGCTTTGTGATAAGGGTTATTTTTCCAACAATTCAACAAAATCGTCACAAGTAGTCACCAAAACTCACTGCTTGCGCTTTTTCGAACAGAAAAATTTATCAGGACTTCAAATAAAAGCCATTTGAGGGTCATAAAAATCAACAAAAGCAGTCGACATGGCTTCTCTTCACTACGCCGTGCTTCTCTCTTACTATGGTTGAATAATCGTTTTTCGCCGCCCCTTCAAGAGGTTGTTCGTGGTTATAGGACATCTCCTTCTTTGAAATAAAAGGTACGCAGAACAAAGCTCGTCCAACAGTTCGAAAATTTCCTGAAAACTAGATATCCTTCCAGCTCGGCTATGTCTTCTAGGAATGGAGTAAAACGTTCCCCAAAGAGAATTTTTTAGGAGATGGGGAAAACGTAGATTTAAACATGCTTTTATAATAGGCCGTGAAAAATAAACTTCATATAATTTGCTTTTAAAAGGATTAAAAATAGATAATCACACAACCAAGCTTTCTTAAGGAAGCGATGATTTCCCTAATATCTAATGCCCCTCTGTAGCTATGATCTGGTCTCCATAACTCCATCACTTATAAAATGTGCGTCAGGTTATGATCAGTTTAAATTTTATCGAAAGCAATTGAAGAAGCAGAACTGGCTTGTTTGAAGAGCCCAGGAACACAAGGCATGGAGACCTTCCGAAGAGTCCTACAGATGGCATACACAACCTTTCGAACAATTTGGACACCACATATGTGAAGGAGCATGGCATATTGTTTGAACGACAAGCAAGAAGTGTAACAGTTTCAGTATCGAGCAGGGGTTCTGAAGGAATGGAATGATTAGAAACGGGTAATAAGGACACTGTATGACCTTGAATGCAAGACTATCGTTTGCGATAACGCCTATCATCAGCGACGGCATTCTATAACAAGCTATTTATATCATTCGGTGGCTTTTTATCTACAGCAACGTAGTCAACTGGGCCACGGATATCCCTATGTTAGCACCTCTGGCGGTCCCCTTTTCTCGTTCCACTGTAGCATGTAAAAAGGCAAATGTTCTGTCAGTGCTGTATTCTTATATTTCAATGACTAACTGTCATCCTAACGACGATTAGAGCATGAACAGAGTAGCGAACTCTTGACGACGATCACATTTTTCTCAGAATCAAGAAAGAAGGACGATGAAGTTAGAAAGAAATTGTAGCTTTGTAAACGAAGCTGTTAAATTCAGATTGATCTTGTAAAGGCAAATCATTAATTTTCTACAAAATCCAAGTATCGAAGCTCCACTTTCTTACTGAGACACCTATTTTCTCTTGCACAAAACATCATTTCTGTTCTGCAAAACGGTTATGATCGTAAACATGAGAAAACGTAAGTGCAAATAATATTTATGTTTCAACCACTGAATGACTGACGTCGTTACCGGTTGATAATAAGTCCCGAGCTGTGCGGTGTAAAATTCCATTTCGTAACTGATCTACTTCTGCCATAACTAGATATTTCTCATTCAGTTCCTCTTAAGTTGCAGCTAATATTATTACATGATTTTAACTTTTTTACTTATTGCCTATTACAGTTTTTCACGGCAGGATATTTTGTGTGATGCAACCACAGTAATGCTGAAACATTTGCAAATCTCTGGGCTCCAGGTGTTTGTAGTGGGAAACGAATGCGCTGTTACCGTTTCGGGGGGCTAACGCGTTCACCACCAAACCATACGGGTTTTTCGTTTCGCCTATCTCTCGCCTAGTTCTATCGTTCAGTGTCATCGGCAATCACCCGTGCATAAATGAATTCGCCTAGAGCCTTAGCTTAGCTGGGCTCATTACCGATTTGGGATCGCCAAACCAATCCCGTTGACGGGCGATTGCTGTTGGCACTGATCGATAGAACCAGCTGATAGGCGAAATGAATGGGACACATGGCGTGGTGGTGAACGCACTAGTCCTCGGAAAGAGTAACAGCGCGTTCGTTCCCCGTTACAGACACCTGTGGTCCGGGGTTTTGCAAATATCTCAGCACCACTGTGGTTTTATTACATGATTGCACAAAGATGAAAGTTCTCGATGCTCTCAAAATTCATTGAACTAGAGAACATTGGATGTGGCATTCAAATGGGAAAGGGCGTATTTACAACAAGTGTGAAGAACGAAAATATTTTTCTATTTCCATCGAGAACTCTATTTTTCCCTTCGAATGTCAGGACGATAGTCTGGTCTGGCTGCCTTCTCTAGGGATTTCGCGTATAGATCCAATCTCTGTGTCATCTGGAAATATACTGTATTCAACAGCACTGATTTGAGGTTTTTTAATGAACTCAGGATCGTTCATATGCACAAAAACACCTCGTAGTTTTATCGACATACTACCTCACTGAAATGTAAAATGCTTGTTAGCAATATGGAAGATTGGGGAAAGCCAAAAATGGCCAACACCTACCCGAAAACCCCAAGTGTCTTTCGTTTGACGACAGAGATTTAAGTCGACTTCAGCGATTAACACTCCGTCCCTCGTTCGAGAAAGCGCCTAAATCGAAATAATCAAATATCTGGACGAGTTTGAGTTAGGAGCTACGCATCGTGATTTACAGCGCAGAAAATTCAGTGCATATTCTAAAACAATTTTAGAGTCGGTGATATTTTACACACAACTTCTTGAATGAACCACAGACGCTGCATTGCATCATCTTCTTACACAAAACTTTCGCACTTTGATTATTTTGCGGTGCTCCGAAGACTACATCGTGTCAATATGTTTACTCTGAAAACCCACAGGAGTCCGACTTCCATCAGGTGCAGCGATGTAACTGCTGCCGTAGAAGTGTCCGAAATCATGATGAGCTGAAATATTTTCCACAAGATCAATGCCAAAGAATGCTTCTCAAAGCAGCTTTAATGTCTACTTGAATAAAAAGTTGACCGACAACTACGATTAGTTCCGTCTCAAACAACGACTAGTTCCCAGGATCGACTTTCTCGTAACCTCGGCACTGGAATATGAATGGGTCGTTTTCTTGTTCAGCAATCGCGAGGTTTTTAAACAGCATACATTTACTTCCATAGAAAAACACAATACAATACAACACTAGCTGACGTTTCGACCCAATCGTCAACCTTATGCGACTATAATCAGCTGTTCTAAACTTCCTCATTGGAAGTCACGAAAAAGCGGCTCCGAAGAAGGCGATACTGCCGAAACGTCAGCTAGCGTTGTGTTGTATTGTGTTTTTCTATGGAAGTAAATGTATGCTGTTTAAAAACCTCGCGATTGCTGAACAAGAAAACGACACAACGACTAGTTCCGGCTCATTGCTTTGATGTGCTGAGCGTAAACGCTCTAATGGTAACCAGTGAAACATAAGAATTAGATATCAATCAGAAGAGGAAGCAGCGCTGATCGTTTAAGGACACGAAGCCACTTCTGTTCAGTCTAGCTGTAGATTAGTATTTACATTTCAGTGTTTTACCAGTCAAAAACTTTTTTTCCTCTATTTTGAACACTTTTGTAACCACAAACAATTTATTTTTTAGCGTGCGGTAGCTACCTGGAAGCACAACAAGATAGGATTTTACATCAGAGTGTGTACATATTGAAAAAAAATAATAAAGTGCATGGACCAACAGTCAATAAAATTGCTTGCCAAATTTCCACTAAGAGAAAAAACACGTTAATATGGATCACGCGTTTATGTAGAAAGCTTTAGGACCAACATGGTTGGAAGAAAGGCAGAGCAAGTGTCTCGGTTGGTGTGGTGGATATCACGTGAGCTCCGTTAAGGGCGATAACGGTTTTACAGATCACCTGGAACTCTTGAATATATTTGCATCCCTGTGGTTGTAGTTCACGTCGTACCTTGTCATGAAGAACGAATAGGCAGTAAATAAGACTTAAGAAGTTGCAGCCTCCACCTCTTAGAAAAGTACTCCTTTGGCTAAACGTTGTCTTCTGCTTAACAACTTTTTGGAAAAGGTAGAATGATGTGAAAAATAAAATAATTTTGTCAGAACAAAGCGGTAAGACAAAATCATACAGTGAAAAAGAACTAACGGAGTATAATGGTAGTGCAACTATATTGATCCTAAGATATTTGCAAAACTCGGAACCCTGTCTCAGCTTTGAAATCTCGATTGCACTTTCCGGGGTTCACGTGTTCCCCACTCTACCACGAAGTCCTTTGCTTCACACTGTCTCAGCCAGTTTTTTGCCTAGTTTCTTTTTTATAAAGTGAATGAGCACTATCAGCAAATACCCGTCAACGAGACTGATCAGGTGACCACAAATAGGCATTGAATAGAGTTAGGCTTAAGGATAATAAACTGCTGTGAAAAAATAATAGGTAGGAAATAAAAAGTTTAAACATCTTGATTTCGACTGCGGATTCAGTTTAACTAGGTCCAAGGCCAATTTGTACTCTCCGAGACACTCTCGTTGATGGGCGATTGCTGATTAACACCGTTAGGGTAGAAAACCGGCTGAAAGGCAAAGAAAGGACTCTGATAGTGCAATGGATAACAGGTGAACTCCCAAAGGGTAATCGTAGGTTCCAAGGTGACTTGGCGTTCCGAGCTTTGTACATATCTTAGCTTTGTTGTGGTTTTATTTCATATAATGCTCTACCATGAAAAAGTAATAGGCAGTAAACAAACGTTAAATAAGTAGTCTAGAAAGGGTTAATTTTGCGTGAAGACATTCATTTCATAGACATAGTCATAAAAGAAAATGAAAGGTTTCTAGCTCACAGTGAAGGGTATCGCGATCGAAGAATTGTAGCAAACTTGGGTGAGAACATCCTCATTCAGTATTTCAAATGTAAAGCAATTTTACTTTTGAAATATACCGAAAATAGTCTGCATATCTAGTCGCTTTTTGATATTACTAAAAACGTGTCATCAAGATGAAATCCCTGTCCATTAGAAAACGTTTTTCAAAGGACCGCATCACATCTGTGAAAGCAAAATTCCGGTGAAACGAGTTCGATGCTTCAAACATAAGAGCAAGCAGTCAAGGAGTTTCCCGATTGTTCAGAAAACTTCCCAGCCAGCGTTTTGGCGCCTTTGTCTTCTTCAGATACAAGGCTAAGTGAAATTCTGTCTGCAGGTTCACAAGTTTGCGAGATTTCTCAGCAGTTTTATCGAAGTTCTCGAAAGAAACAATCTCGAAGTGACCGAGCAACTTCGGCACGGAATAAGAAATATCCCACTATATTACGTTAACTCGGGATGAAGCTAGATCGCAAGATAATATGGTTTTATGTTCTAGCAGCAGTTTTTATTAAATAGGAAGATCAGATTTCTCTAGAGAAAGATAAAAAACGATGTCTTTAGTGACAAAAATTGTAACCTTTGTTCTATTCACTCTTATAGACTTTTATCAAAATTATCATTGTCACCATAACGATAATGAAAATAATAATGTAATGTAATGTATAATAATGTCACCATATAATGTCACCATATACTCGTATACAATGCTGAGATACTTGCACCGCTGGTGTCTGCGGTGAGGAACGAACGCGGTACACTCCTTTTCGGGGGCTAATGTGTTCACCACCACACCATCCTTCATTTCGCCTGTCTCTCAGCTAGTTTTATAAATGTAATATTACCATTAGTGTTGCTAATGGATTACTCGGTATCACATATACCACACTGTATGACACTAGCGCTTCCTTAGTTCTAATCGTTTCCTTGTATATGCCACTCACGAATTTCTTCCATTCGACCTATTTTAGAAATGGATTCGGGTGCTGATTGAGGAATTTTAAGCTTCCGTCACGAATCTCGTTGAATTCTGATCGAGTCTTTTGTTCCTGGAACCTTCAAATACCGTAGTTTCGCTCCTGTAAGGGGACCAGCGTCTAGATGGGTTGAGCCATCCGGATGATGAGTGACATCAATACAACTGCGCTACACGCTCTCGTCAGTTTGTCGTTTTGAAGATTACAGAAGGCAACTATCATGAATGATGAGAAACATCGCGTGATCCATTAAATACCTTGCAAACGAACAAAACGAGTGCTTCCTTTAAAAAGGTGGGAAAAAGAGGCAAATTTAGAAACGTGGAAAAACAGAGAACAGTAATGAATCGACAAAAGTGTAAAAGCGCTGTTACCTGGGCGTCCATCCCCGGAAGTGAATTCGTTTGGGAAGTGCTCCGTTCCCACTCGATTGATAGCCACTGTGAAGCAGTGATTAGCGATCGCAGCGTTACGTGCCTCGATTCCCCATAGCGGCTCACTAAAAAAATTTTTATGGACTATCAAGACCAGCGGTACGACGAAAAGCGGTTAAAATGAGTCTTTAGGTACTTAAACTGATTCTGGAAGATTTTTTGGCATTAGGTACTTTTGGATTAGAGCTACACAGGATTACCCATTCAATTCAAAATCTGGACTCTGCACAGGTCCAGGTTCCTAATGTTTTCTCATGTCTGTTATTATCTTAAAGCGAATGCTGTCATTCTTGATTTATAAATACGCAATTCCCAATCGATTTATTGATTGACTTTAATGGCCTCGAAGCACACCTCAGCCCTCCGACAGTGGCAGATGGATTGAAGATGATCTCGGCTCCGTTCAGAGCATACATCATCCAGTTCTGTGGATGATGGCGCCCGTAGCAAATGTTGATGCCGATCTTCCCTGCAAGTCGGATTAAGGGCACTTATTAGGTAGGTGTTTGTTTGGATTCAAAATCACAGAGATGTTGGGAATGCGCCGGCGACACTCACCGAATGCCGTCTCGAACACTGGATGGCCAAGCGTCGACTCCATGTAATAGCTAGACTGAATGGCAAGCAGTAATTAAGCGGTAATGTATATGTTTTGAATTTTTCCTACTAATTAAAATACGTCATTTCATTTATTCAAATCTGGATTGAAAAGCGAAATCAAAGATTTGGAAATGCTTTAGCACATTCGCCACCAACCTTGTTCATTTTACAAATGTTGGAGATTTTTCTGTAACTATGACATTTTAAGGATTGAGGAGACGACAAAATTATAGAAGAATCACCGTCCAACTCTAGCTTTCCAGTTCACAGAATCGACTTTCTATTGAACTCGGCATTGGATTACAAATTCGTCGCTTTTTCTCTCAGCAATCGCAAGGTTGCTAAACAGCATACGTTTACTTCCATGCAATAACACACATACAACACAATCGTAGCTCACGTTTCGGCAGAATCGCCCTCTTCAGAGCTGTTTTTTACGCACCTTCCACTGAGAGAGAGCCGCTGATCAAAATCGCATATGATTGACGATTGATGACGCATGGAAGTAAACGTATGCTGTTTAACAACCTCGCAACCGCTGAGAGAAAAAGCGACGAACCTAGTTTTCCACTCAGTGGTTAGTTACTTGATACTTAATACTTGAGTGGCCCGTCCTCATTGGTTGTGCGAACCCCAGCATTATATTTCGCAACATACCCTATATTTGCTGGTTAAGCCATTGTGGTGTCATGGAATTCCGAGGTCGACCTGGTCAAAGTCTGCGCCAGCTCTTCACTTCCACAGATAGTCACAGTCCTTGTGGATCAGAAGAAGATTTACCACTATGCGACTTTGATACCAAGACGGTAGTGTATATTGGTTTACTCTTAATTAGGCTTCCTGATAAAAACGTCGGACTCTTTCTTAGCTTGGGAAACCCTGCCGGTGGGACGACTCCCTCCGCTGTACGTCGCTCAGGCACCCAGAAACACCTCCCAGCCACGATGAGGCGGTAAGCCGTTGGGAGGGCTCAGTTGTTTAAAAATAAAATGTGAAAATCAACGGTCATATCGGGGTTATCATCGTGATCCACTGGACGAGATGCTCCGGAAAACCAAGGTTTTTACTGATGAAATGAAAGTGTTTTTGATAAATATCCGCATACTTTTAAACAGCCAGACATCACACATAGTGCGAATACCAGCAAACCTTCCATTCGATTTGTTTCCTTTTCTCTCTTCTTTGATAGACCTCAAATTTCACATTTGGGTTCTGCTGCTCCTTAGGATTTTTTGGCTTCACGAATGTATTTGAATGCTGGCTTAGTCAGTTTTCCTTGGAATTCCGGGATTGGTGTGCTAGAACAATCGCTGGTCTTCGGTATATGCTATCGGCTTGAGGGCACCACATGCCTGCATATTTGAATGGACTGTCTCCGCAAGTAATGTAGACCCCACCATCTTCCATTTGCTTCATTCCCACGCAATGATCGTCTATGGTAGTGATGGCCTCAAATATTGTGATGTCGGCGAGACCCGTTCCGTGATCCTTAAATCAGTTTTCCTTCTGAAGGCACATCTTAGCGACGAACACATGTGCTTATCGCTTGAGTGGAGGACGCTTGCTTTTGGACCCATTAGTTGGCTACTGGCATATTTGAGTGGTCCGAACGCAGCCCAAGCTACACTCCTTCTTCAATCTAATTTCTTCTTCATGTAGTTTGCGAGGCGGTCTTTGTAATTACAGGACTGAACAGTAGAATTTGTTCGCTTCGCCTTGATGAATTGGGCCTTCGTCATTCTCATGCGTAGTTCAATATTTTTCCCATTGAGTTGAGTCATTGACCATCTTATCTGCTTCACTAATATTTCTGGAAAAAATGACGGTTCCGTAAACAAAATAAAGATTGAACAGAAATTTCCCATCAGTGCATGCGATCTTCTCGTATTGCCACTTCCATTGCAACCTAAACATTTTGCCGAGACGGTGTTGCCTTGTCGAATTTCTTTTCACATGTGGATGAAAGAGCGATATTTCCATGACTCAGTTACAATAGCAGTCAACTAGGGATCTTATGTGGAACGGCTTTACTCTTTGTTGGACGAGCGGTGATAAGATTGCATTCGTTTCGATAGCGTTAAACGCTTTCTTGTAGTTAACAAAGGTTAGGAGAAAGTGTTGACGATACATCCTACAGAGATCTGTGACGTGCGATACCGTTTTGAAGTAGTCAATACATAAGGATTCCTGTTGAATCCTGTTTCCCAGCTGATTGCCTTATCCAAAGCATTCGATATGGGCAGAAGTGCCACCTTCGTGAACGGTTTGTTGGATTCACTCAACAAACATATTGAACGGTAATTACGAAAATCCTTTCCGTCACCTTTCTTGTATAGGATGACCATGTCTTACGTTGTCCATTTGTGCTCACAAATGCAAGAAAAGCACATGTAGTTTATCGCTTCTAGGTATAAGGAAGTCAGAGGTAATATTATCAGGTCAGGAGTCGCGCCTCTTTTCCTGCTTTTCACCGCTACTCGAACTTCAGAGGGTGGAATTTCAGGCGCTTCTCTGTTACAGTTTCTATTTCCATACCATGGCGTGGTGTTGTGGTGGTCCCTTTTTATTTATCAGGGTTTATGGTGCGCAGTGCATGCATTTAATAAATCACTGCTTAAATTTGAGGGTTTAAACCAATACGACATGAAGTACAATGATGAATAGTATAATAACGACAGATGAAACAGTGCCTATAGTTACTAAAATGAATACACAGCCCGAAAAAACTGACTAAGCTCGTTCGGGAGCAATTTCCTAAAATTTTCTTCTAAGTGGAAGCCATTCTAAATATATCATTTTAGCAACTAATTTAAATACGACAACAATGACCTCATTAAAATCACCAACTCTTGGGATGTGATTCTTCCTGCTCTTACCGATTACCTTGCCCGTATGTGAGATAACCACCGCAGTATTCCAGATAACATCATCCTTCTCTTCATCTCTTTCAAGAATCGGACTGATGATCACGATACCGTATTTCGCAGCCAACTGTAAAAAGCCGCAAAGTTGCTCAATGCTTTTTTTCAAATCTATTAGATTGATTTTAAAATAATGGCCACATCTGTTGTTGCAAAATTTACAATTCAAAAACGAGACAAGGAAGAGATAAGCCGGCAGAACTGCTAAGTGGTTGCGAATAGAATTAAACGATTATCAAGAATAACTTCGCTATGAACTATACTGAGCGTTAACCTTACGCAAAAAAAATCGAGTCATTTCTTAATCGCCTTGTGAAACGCGATGAATGTGAGATCCCACTGAGGAGTGGTGATGCTAAGTACAATGGCTGAACTAATTCTGAGTTTCGAAACCCTTTACATGACCGAATCTGCATTAAAACACGGTTATGGGAATGTTTGGTGATTTCCAGCCGGACTAAATAGTCACAGATTTTGATTCCTGGCCAACGATTGAAAAAGGTGTTTTCAGGAAGTCAACGAAATTCGTAAAGCATTAGAGAGCACCTATCCAACTTTGATGAATAGAAAATGTCCAAGGATAATGCTCTATCACAAATTTGTATAGCGAACGCTAAAGAAGTTGAGCAAAATGAGCTAAGAAGCACTACTTCATGCAGTCTATTCATCGGATTTCTCGCCAAGTAGCTACTTTTTTTGAGAAGAAATAAGGAGCTGCCTCCCAGTTGCTTCATTCCTCGCCGATGAATTCATGCATAAATGTCAATCTGTACGGTAGATGTAAGCCATAAGTCAATCCGATGCAGCAGAGTTCGTCGAAATTTAAAGATATGGTCAGTTTTTGATCCTATTTAACTTCCGTTAATTTTTCCTTCGTAGTTTTGCTCTTGGTTTAACCAGCTCAATATCCTTCATATCAAGGTGATACACTTTTCCATCCTTCCATGTGCCTAAGGACACTCGAAAAGTGGTATGCAAACAACCTATCTGTAATTTTCGCTTGGACTAACGGATGACTTTGATATGGGATAAAGGTATCGATACATCCCTTAGAAAACAAATTCCTTCACAAACATGAAATTGCAGCAAACCCATTTGCCGCCTGTATTTAAGAACAAGATAGATCACAATAATCACCTACACTAGGGGAAAAGTTCGCGAATAAGCAAAGTAAGGACTTCTGCTGCTTATTTCAAGAAGTTTTGAATAATTAAACGATGAAGATTTCTGAAGTTCTTGTGAAAATGACGACAGCACTAGATCCAAAGTTTGATCTCGCTTCGAGATTCACGTCGTTACTATACTTGAAATCCGACAGCGTTATATGATTAGAAATGGAACAATTCGGAAGCAAATAGTGTTGGATGTCCACTTCACTATTTCTACTTTACGCGTGGAAAATATTAATAGTCTTAACAGTTGCTGCGTGAAAAATGGCTCATGGAAGCGGCGTTCCACTCCAATGAACTCGACCCAATGCGATTACGAAGACTAACGTCGCAAGGACGAACGAATTTGGACAGTCGGATCGAATGATCCCGACTGTGAAAAAGGCAAAAACGTCGAGCCGAGCAAAGTTTTACGTCAGCCCCGTCTTAGCCTATCAATGAAAAAATGAGCACCGGCTCATTTGGTTCAATCCGTTATGGAAGTGATCGAGTAGAAACAGAATGACTGCTGCTATGACTTTAGCGCTTTCCTTCACAGATTAGCCGGTTTAATGCGTCAAACCACTCAAGGACAATCGCTGGAGTTGATACAACGAGCTTGATTGCGTGCATATCAATCAAGAAATCGGATGTTTAGAAATACGACGATTGCAGAATATCTTCCCTAAAACCTTAAATGCTTAGAATCGCGCTCTCTCATTTTGTTTTCAGACTGAAGAAGTTTGTTCAAGAAAGAACTGGGGCGCCACTTGCGAGATTGGTGATTTTATCGACATCTGCGTATTTGCTTCAATAATCAACGGTGTACTCATGACAAACCAGTTAGATTAACTGATCAAAAATTACTTTTCGCTTTCGATTATTCGTCAACGCATTAAAAGTATACTTCAGTTCCAAGTGTAATAGTTGAACTCTGTCTCGTTGTCTGATGCACCAATACCCACACCAATAATTTCTCGTCTTCCATGGAGTCCACTTCAATGTTGGGGCCTGAACATTAGAAGGCCCATCTTCAAAAGTCATAGAAGTACACGTACATTTTCCATTTATTTCTTCAATTTGCTATCGTCGTTCACCGCATACGTTAATATGGCGACATGGCGACATCTATCGTTATCATCCCATAATCCACAATTCGTTTGCAACTACAATGAAATGGACCACAAATCCACAAAAACGCCCGCCAACCTCGTATTGTTCGTTGCAGGAGAGACACGCAGCCTATTTGTCCCCAGACTGTTGGTCTTATCCTATAACTGCCCTCTGGTGTCTTGACAAGTCCACTATTTAACTTGAATATTTTAACGTGCATTTTTGTCGATTCCGAAAACCAGCCATCTTTCGAAACACATGACTGCGTATTCAGGCTCCATGTTATTTGTGTGAGTTACACTGTTAAAGCGTGACATGGATAAATGTGTAAAATTCTCGATGTGGCTGCGGTGTCAACCCATATCTCGGAAGGACAGAAGAGTTAAAAGCTAAAAGCTGTCCGCGTTGATCAATCGCTGAGAGATGCGCCATGCATTCGACTTCATTAAGCAACGTTGGAGGTGAATGAATGCATATATGGCCTTTACAGTGACTCGCGGTGGCCTACCGATGTATCGAGCCACTGCTGCTATCATCCCGGACAAATCTAGTACCGATTTGCCGAGCCCGGAGAGATGGGTGGCTAAGAGGGCCATGGACACGGTGATCAGTTCCACGTTTGTGTTTCAGGGCGCCTCCGACCACTGCGCCACACGTGACCTTATGGTAGAGAGAGCAAAAATCAAGTTTGAAATACTGACTCCATCAATCAGCCTGATAGATCTAAAGAGTCCTAAAAGCAGCACCCTCTCCTATGTTGTCTTTCATATTCAACTAATCCCCAAGAAAATATATGATGTTGCCTTTGCAGTCAAAAAATGTCCATTTCCATTTATTTCTCATGAAATGGGGCTTTTTCGATTTACGAGCAGCCCTATCCATTTTCCCGCTTCGTTGAATTCCTGAAGCATCGTTTCTGCTTCATTGATTCTCCTTGAGAATGAGACGTCTTCAACAGAAATCGATCAATCTGTATGCCCTATCCGTTCCAATAAAGCGATTTCAGTGGCTCTCTCAGATCTACTTTTCCACGTAGATAGATGAGACAGGTGAAACTATCCTTTATGTAGAATGGAGTTTAATGGTGTTTTGCATCCATACCTGGTCAAGCCTCATCTCAGATCCTTTATGTGAGCAGTAGACAATTTTCGTTGGAAGTTTTTAGAGCACGATCAGCAAGCAAATCGCACTATAGTCGCTAACATACTTTCAGTTCCTAGACATAATGAATGTGCCAAGGTTTCCATTAGGTTTGTGACCCTTTATTCTGAAGATTTGTCGTCACACAGGTTGCAAGCGATCCGCGTAGTTCGCAACTTTTGTAGTAATTTCAGGGCCAAGAGAAGAGCCGTGATATTTTATGACTTTAGAACTGTGCCGCTTCTCATACCCTTCATAGCAACTTGAAACTCAGAGGGAAGGTCATCTAATGGCTTTCTTTGCCATTGCTGATTTTTCGGTAAGAAACGGATATTGTGGAATAGAATTAACTAGAGTAGAATGTAGCAATTCCCACGACCGACTTTCTTTTAACCTCGGCATTGATTGATAATTCGCTGTTTTTCTTCAATAAGCGGACACGAGGTTGTTATTATAGGATTTATTAGGATACAATAGCTGACGTTTCGGCGGTTTCGCCTTCTTCAGAGCCTGGAAAGGTCAAATTAGCAGATAAAACTTAACAAATAAATTTGCATACGCATAAGAAACAGCTTCATTTAAACAACTAATGTTTATTTGTTGTAAGTACTTAGGTTAGTTGATGGATAGGAGCCGCACAGAGTAATTCATGGGCGATAACTGTGTCTGTGTCAGGCCATTGGATTAGCCTGAGGTGTGGCGCCAGGTCACGCGTGTTGACAAGACACTCCTCCTTGCGGTTAATTTTTGAATTTTTGGAATTGATCCAAATTTATTTGTTAAGTTTTATCTACTGGGGTTATGAAAGTGCTTGGCTGGGTAGATCGCATCTCAATTTGACCTTTCCAGGCTCTGAAGAAGGCGAAACCGCCGAAACGTCAGCTATTGTATCCTAATAAATCCTATAATAACAACCTCGTGTCTGCTTATTAGAGTAGAATGCTTCCTCACACTTCCGCTTGTCAGTCCTTGTAGCCAGGCCTTTTATTCGCATGGGTCCCTTAACTAGAACTGTTTTTTGAAATTCTTGCATTAGTACTATTCTCTATCTGTGTCTTCACCAAACGACATTTTGCAGGTGGTATTTATTACCATCCGTGTTAGGTATGTCTTTTGCAGCTCCTTGATGGTGGTGGAAATGCCATCACAGCATTCAGATTGAGTAAACGAGTCATGTTTGACACTGCTTCTAAGTTTATTTCTAAGGAGCAATTCGTAGCTTTCGGTTGGGTCTTCTTTATTCTGCGGGTCATGTATGGGAAAAACTCCTCCCACAGTGTTCTTATTATTCATTACTGCTTTTTTCTTCTTGGCTAATAATAGCACATCTTCCTTAGCAGCAGCAATGGAATCGAATCGTTAAGAAAAAGACGCTTCTCGGATCCAGTTCGAAGTTACGGCGCTCATTAAATTTTTATATGTCGGACTTTTTGCTTTTGTTCTCTTAAAGGGTTCAGGTAGTGGAGAGCAATGTTAGAGAAAACTTTTCTGGCTCTATAAGTGCGAAGCCGGAAATATTTCCCACGGCATAGTTCTCATGTTTTCTATATTTATATGATCTTATAAACTGATCTTCTTTAATTGATTCAAGGTTGGTATAGGTGTCATGTTTTCTTTTTTAGACAAACCCAACGACGTTATGTGCAAAACGTAGATTCTTTGGTATCACTAAGGTTTTCTTACCATCCGAAGTCGTAAGCGGAAGGGCTTGCATTTTAAAGTGTTTCAAGTGCTAAGACTGATTAATCGCCAAGAGACCAATCCTTTTTACCGGAGTGCCAAAAATGAGCCTTACTAAGGCATGAGGCAGTCACCATAGGCCATCGCTAGCACTTACTAATCGAAAGCAGAAATAACGTTGCAGGTAAGTCGCGACTAGGAATTCAAGTGACGACGACTCAGGCATTGGTTTTTCTGTAGGTGAGCTTCAGGTACGACTGGTAATGAACACCCACTGTAAATGTGCTCAACACCTAGGCGCACCCCTGGCGAAGTAAACCAGTGAAGAAAATCTTGTTCTGAAGACAAAGCATGCCATATTGCTTCCTCACTTAACACTACTGAAAAAAACAGTGTTTTCACGATGTCACTCTCGTTTCTATCCCAGTTGGAATCGTGAACATGTACAGTGAAAAGAACTAAACACATTGGGAGAGGTTTCGCTTACACACGACAAAACCTGTGAGGCGAATCATTTTACCGGTCTTACGAAATCCAGCCAAGAAAGAACCAATAGCGTATGACGTGTCTGTTCCTCGCTATAACCACGCATAGTGATAGAGAGTTACAGCTAAACTGCACAGTCGTCCAGAACAGTCTGTCTGGAACGTTTTGCCAAACCTCTTCTCTGGTTAGAATGAGTTCATTTTTTATATTAAACTAACTGCCTTAATCAGTTTACCAACAAGTATGCAAACACGATTGAAATCAAGTAATCAGATAAAGCTATTATCTAGGTGTTCTCGATCTGCAGACAGAAAAAAAGGCGCTCGGCGGTTTTGCCTCCTAAGAATTCTTTCGGTGGGACATTTCGAACCTCCTAATTACTAAGAAAATTCAACCGAGAAAAATGGATATGCACGGAAAGATTTCAAGTGGTTTTCATTGAATTTTCTAAGCACAATGCTGGACGAGTTTGTCTGAGTAACACACAGAACTTAAAAAAGAAAAACTTCAGACGACAGCGAATAGAACAAAATCTTCATGTGCTTCCACATAAACCTTATTCGCACTCAGTTTCTCCTCTTTTTGACTTAGCTTTCCTGGATGTAGTTATATATCATACATTATTTGATTTTTAATTTGATATATATTGTATATTTGAAAGCACTAACCAAAGCAGTTCTTCAACTTTAAAACTGTAAATACGCCCCGGTCAATGCTAGAGGTTGGAACAAATATTCGTCTTCCTCTTCTATGGCTTTGAAGGTCTCCTCCTCCCCCTCCCTCAAAAAAAAGACGCTAAGTTTCTTTTTTGCTCTCGCATGAAGGAAACTAAGCCGGGACAGACTTTCTATTAACCTCGGTATTGGGTCAAAGATTACTCTATGTTCTTGTTGGGCAAACACGAGGTGCTACTTTATTCTTTATCATGGTGAAGCTGTTGCTTCGGTGGATTTCGCTTTCATCGAAACTTTGGAAGGGTCAAGTTGACTGCAATCTATTCATTTACTATTCATTTAAGCACCTCAGCAACTGATCTCTTACATGAATGTTAGGACTTCCGCAAGGCAGCAAAAAAGAACCTACCTACCTGTGAGAGGAATTGCGTAGTCGGACCATATTCGGCGGATTCTGCGAATTCTGTCCATGGCAAACGTTCTCGAGTGCAAAATGCAAACGGCATCGCTATGAATAGAAGAAAAGCAACATTATTTAGCCTTTTTTCCAATGGAAATGCAACATAACACAAATGCTTACTCCATGCTTCTTGAAGACAGACGATGTTAGCGCCTGCTAGTGCCGCAACTTCGATCATTGCAGATATCTTCTCATGGAGCGCTTTTCTCTGTTGGCAGACTGGCGCCGTCGTAGCCAACACTATGGAGTTTTGAATAGCTGTGATACGGACCTGTAAATCTGTGTAAATTATGCATTACTATTATTACCGTACACTGTACATTACTGAAAATTATACATTACTATACATTACTATTGCTATAACTATGTATCCTGAGGATGTAACGCTGCTATAAGTTTATTTTTTTGCGCTTTTGACTTTCAAAGGACTATTTCGATTCAAGATCAAATTTAAGACTTAGAAGGAGACAAACCTTATATGAGCAAATAAAAACTTTTGCCGCACTCAGCTTGACACCTATGCGATTTTACTGTGGATAGAAATTGTGCTAACGATTCGGGTGAATTTACCCTCCGCGGAGCTCTCAATTGCTCTGCTTGAGCTGAGACAGAGTAGGCCTTCAATTCGAAATTACCATTCACAGCAAGATCTTTCGCTTTTTGTGACAATTCTAGTACCCTGTAACCGAAGTTTACTTAAGCTGAATTTGCCAACTAAAAATGAGAATTATGGGTATGGCTTACGGAAACGCTCTTCCATAGAGGATTCGACGAACTTCCTCATAGTTTCGATCTTTTAAGGATTCCTCCAGAACGGTTTCGATGCCATCAAACTCCTTCTGAGCAGCCATCTGTTTAAATACCTTACATTGCTTTCCTTTTAGTCAATAATAATCACATTATTTCGATAAAACATTAAAGTCATCGATAAGAACATAGCCTGACATTGGGCTGCGATGTAAAAATCAATAACAGGAACAAAAGAAGCAATAATGAAAAAACACCGGAGAATTATCAAAGACTAAAAGAAATTTCGATGAAAGGGATTCAGCCTTTCCCAGAAAAACGTAAATTATTAAAAATTCGGAAGAAAACATACATGAATGACAGGGCTCTCTTCATGAATTATAACAGGTGTCGACGCAAACCCGAAACAACAAGAAAAAAAGCGGTAAACATACAGACATTTTGAGCTGCCATTGTGGATAAAGAAGCTCTGACAAAACAGACGCCTCGAGTGGGCGTAATTATTGACAAAAACTTTAGGAAATAATTCCGGAATTATAAGAATCCAAAATTCTTATGACAAGAGTTTTTTCACACAAGCCTGATAACTTTGACCTAACCTGCCAAGCACGCGCTATTTTTTTTTCCCAGTAGAATTCTTACCGCGATCGAAATTTACCGGAATATTCGATACAAAATTCACAATCCTCCAGTCTTCCATTAACTTTAAATGATTCAAGTTCGACGCTCAATTTTATGAAAATCGTTCAATTGTTAGAGTTCTGGATGATGCTGTAGGTTTTTTTCTGAATCAGCGAAATCTATTGGCCCTTATGGGGCCTCTTGAAATTGGGACACCTCGTTTCCAAGGTTACCTACAAACAAGTTTTTTTCAAACTCATCTCTGCTTTCTAAGTCACATCTAAATAAGCGTTGCTTGTCTAAGAATTTAATATATCATAGCCATCTTTTTCCTTCGCTGCTATATTTCCTACCGACTAGTTACTATTCTTTGCGTTCTGGTGTTTCCATATTTGGTTTTTTTTTCCACTGTTTTAGGATGTATTCGAAGCAGTGGTCAGGAAACAAAGCAGCAGAGTTCGACTACCACTCCGACTCCACTACAATCCACGTAAGAACTTCATACCTCGGCTATCCTCATAGTTGTAAGGAGAACCAACTTTCCTAGAACAGTATTCTGCGGTATTCATAAAGAAGACGAAATCCTCAAAATGCAGCCAAAACCACACAACAAAATGTTTGAAGACTTTTTGTACGAGTGAGAGGAAAACGATTCGAATGTAATAAGAGTTGAGATCCGCATAGCCGACGTGATGACGGATCATGTAATAAATAAATGAATAAATGTTATTAAAACCAACTTGACTAGCATGAAACCAATTTCGAAACTGTTTCTATGAGCCCATTATAATATCATCCGGCGCCAAACTAAAACACATGTTCAAACGCTTGACTGCTCAATACAAAAATTTCGACGACAGAAAACGACGAAAATTTTCTGCTTTTCAGAAGATTAAACTGCACAGAATAATCAAGGAAAGCTAAATTACTATTACCAGATAAGAATGGTAAAGCGCTCAGCGTTGATCAATCCCTGAGGGATGTGCTATGCATTCGACTTCATCAAGCGTGATTTGGAGGTGACTGAATGCATATCTGGCATTTACAATGACTCGCGGTGGCCAACCGATGTATCGAGGCACTATTGCTTTCTTCCAAGGCAAGTCTGGTATCAATTTACCGAATCCGGAGGGATGGAAAGCTTGGTAGGTCATGGGTACGGGGATCGATTCCACGTGTGTGTTGCAGGGCACCTCCGACCACTGCGTCAAATGCGCCATTACTAGATAGTCAAAGTAACATCTTGTTAGAAACTTTTCGCAGATTCCAATAAATATGATTTGGCTTGATGAAAAAGTCTAATGTGGGCTGAGATATGTTTGTTCAACAGTTTAAGACCAAATTACTTTTTAACTGAGCATGAGTCATTAGTGCTTCACAATGTAACAGATCTTTCCGATGGTAGATCTGTCTAATTCGGCTTTTAAAAGCCGTCTTAAAGTGCCAGTTCTTCGACACTGCCATCATAAAGGCGACAGTACAGTGAATTATTACATGTAAATGGCTTGTCATTGGCAACATTAATTCTACATTATCAACCGCAATATGAAACACCTCTTGCAACGAATGTTGAGGGAATAATAGAAAGAACATAAGACTTCGCGAAACATTTAGTCCTAAAAACACGCCATTTCGGTGGGTTAGTAGCTCAAGGCCGGCTAAATTGGCATTATTTTTCGGAACACGAATTTCTCCCTGAGTTACAGAACGATTAAAAGAGGATAAGAATATTAAAGAATTGGAAACGTAGCAAAATTCATAAGAACGAAATTCGGTCACTTTCTAAAGGAACACGAAGCTGCTTAGAAAAGATTTATGAGCGGTTGTCTCAGAAATCGCGTAAGAGCGACGAATTGGCCTTTGATCTAATCGGTTTAGTTCAGCGGTTCTTCGCCACAGATGATCACTTATGCATTAACCCAGTAAACGGCGATATGCGAAGAGGGATGGAGAAATCTTATTCGAATGGCTTAGAAGATAAGAGAAATTCTCTGCGAGCACAAACCAGCAACCACTAAAACTTTTGAAGAAGTAGACTGACGATCAATCGATGTGATATGCTGATGTAGACGGCGCTGACATCTCGAAAAACATCACTTTTTCATGTCAATGTAACATATATTTTAGTGCACACCGAGACAATACTGCAACCGAGAGATATTATTGTTTGAGGTATTGGATGAGTGCGAGAACGCCTAACACGGCTATCTCTGGGAAAATCACGTTTGAGCATCAAACGACATGTCATTGAGAAAAAAAAATCCTGAAGTCCCAGTCGAATCCACAGTCGAACCAAATGAAAGCTGTGGAAGACGACTGCGAGAAAATGAAACAAATGAGAGGATATGAAGACGCGTCATCTATTTAGCTAAGCAAGGGCCTATCGAATGCGTGTTTGTCTTGACATGATTCGACTCCTGAGATTACGGGGATACCAGCATTTCACTCAGTTCGTCCCCTCCTATACGTCATTCAAGAAGGCTCGTAGAAATGCGTCTAAATTTGATTGGTCCTTCAGGATTCCGGTCTTTTCATGAAGGTCATGAATTGTGGTCGAATCAAATCTCCCTGGAATCCAGAAACAGCCATGCTAGAGCGTTTCCGTGCCTTCGCGACAGAGGCTCGGCAGTCATTGTGACGCTAGTGCGCTACTCCCTGACAAATTTTGTAGCAGTATCTCGCCTCCTGAAGAGTGGTAACCCTGTGAGCCTAGGAGTAGTCGACCAACAGGGTCATACCTTTCACGTAAAACGGCAAGTCAACCACTACCTAATCAGCCATTGAACGCATATTAAAGGATAAAGGATAGAACTCTTAACGTTGATCAAACCTGAGGGATGCGCCATGTATTCGACTTCGTTAAGCAACGTTGAAGGTGATTAAATGCATATCTGACCTTTAGAATGACTCGTCGTGGCCTACCGATCTATAGAACCAGTGCCGCTATCCTCCCAGATAAGTCTGGTACCAATTTGCTCACCCTGGAAAGATGGAAGGCTTGGTGAGCCAAGGGCGTGGGGATCGATCCCATGTGTATGCTGCAAAGCGTCTCCAACCACTACACTACACGCGACCCTGTATATGAATGCATATCAATTATAGAGAACCGATAATACTTAGTTTTTTAAGCAGTTTGAAGCTCTGGGAAAGTGTCTGAAATACAGCAAAGAAGTGAAATTACCATCCAACTATTTAACAACTTTAAAATAAGGGTAAATGAGAATTTACCATAAGTTTAACAAAGTGTTTAATTTGCTTTGATAGAGTGCAAAATATTGGCCGCGCAGAGGTAACGTAATATTTATTGTTCCTTAAAATTAGTGTACGATGTAGTGGAGCATTTTGAATTTGCATGTGGAAATTTCCCCACTAATTGAAAAATATGCATCTATAAAAAAGAGAGAAAAAACAAGAAACGTCCAGTTTTCGAAGAAAACCGAGATGAATTGAATGTGAACAAATGGGGCTGAGTGACCGTCGGCGCGATCCCGTCGATGATCGCTCTATCAGGTTCAAATAAATCAACATTGCGCGCCAGCTGTTTTGGTGGAGAGAGAGTCGAACAACTGGTGGTGGCGCTTGGTGTAGGGCTCAACTTTCCCCAAAGTTTGGAGCTAATAAAAGCGCTAACAGGTAGTTAAACATAAAAGATGGGGGTTAGGGGATCTTCTACCACTGGCAACAGGCAACAGCTGCTTTTGGTAGACCATGTTTTTCATGCCTTTCTACGCAAACACGGCCCACGTGGAATGGTTATGTTTTTTTTTACTTGGTTAATTAACTATACTTGGCAAAGTTAACTCACCCACTTGAAGAAGCTATTAGTAGTTCTGAATTTAAATAAGGTATTAAAGCATATAGAGGAACTGATGAGGCCACGACAAAACTGAAATTTCACAACTGATCGAAAAACTTGTTATTTAGCGCAAAACCACCGAAATGCTAAAGAAAAAAGTTTATCTGGGAGTACACCTATCAGAGAAATCCGAAACCCAAATCTGACAACTTCAATGTGTTTAACTGACACGAAGATTAGAACATTTTAATCATTAAACCAATACAACGACCTCCCATACGACGAAAACAACCAAAGACTTTCAGATAGGGCATATTGTTGTTCCAATCTGCCCCTCCACATGAGACTAGTTTATAAGACTAGGAGGGTGAACATGGACGAGTAGCGTTTCACTGCAGAGTATATAGTGAGGACACGTTATTCTAGATGACAGAGAAAAGTGGTAAAAGAATATAAATTCCTGCACTCCTAATCCATGAGTGACGATGCTTTCAATTAGCGATATACTCCTTGAATGAACAAGCTAGTTTAGGAAAGAACTTTTTCTTTGCATAAAATGGTCCTGATAGGCCGAAAAACCGGTTTCATAGTCAGCATTTCGCAACACGTCTACTCTAAAAAAAACTCCTTAGGATAACAATCACACATAGATTCCCAAGCGCGAAGAGAGCTGGTTCCGTACTGCCCGTAACTGAACAATCAGCGACAGACATAATAGCCCTACGACAGCTGGTGCCTCTCATTATAGGCAAATTTTCTACATCATTATTAAAAAACATTCATTATCAGTCATGTATTGGTCTTGATACTTGCCTAGCCAAAATCTGCCCCAGGTCGTCATCACCACAGGCAGTCGCCGACCTTATGGAACATAGAGAGATTTGCCACAACCCGGCTAGTTCGATACCAGCAGGACGGTGGTGATTCCTGGTATTCGTTTACTCCTTCCGGATGGAAACGCCTGTCTCTTTTTCAGCTTTGGAGTCCTTTCGTAGAGAATAATTATTCAGTCAATGCTTCCGCTTCCGAATAGCGCAGCCGGACTCCCAGGAACAGCTTCCAGCCACGATGAGACGGTAACCCGTTGTGACGCTTGCATTGATTTGTTAAAAAATCATTTACAATTATTAAGTGAATCGGAATCGTATTGCCATCAAAGGAACTCTAGAAAAGCCTGATGCGTAGTTCAAAAATCATTCATAACGGGCTGATATCTCAAAATTTGCGAGTAGATTTCGTGCATTACTCCACTTCATTTCCATAGAGGGAATAAATAGCGCAACGGTTGTGATTTCCCTAATTAAAAGTGTAGCCGAACCTAGCCACTCGCTTATTTAACACGGCTCGGTGCACGACAAAACTCCCACCCATCACGGGCAAGGAAATTAGTACCGGGCTTGTCTACGAAGAACTCGCTCTCTCTCTCTCTCTCTCTCCAACCCACTCTCTGGCTTTCAAAATTTAGATCTAATATTTAGATGTTAAATTTTATACTTGCTGCCTGCTACAGTTTTTCACGGCAGGATATTATGTGAAATACAACCGCAATTATGCTAAGATATTCGCAAAACTAGGGCTCGCAAGTGTTTACAGTGGGATCGAACAAGCTATAACCTTTTCTAGGATCTAAATTTTAATGTGTTTTCGAAAGGAAGTGCCCGAGTGCTTAAAAAAAACTAGAAAAGGTGTCTGGGTTTCAAGCATTTGTCCTTCAACAATCATATGAAACCAAAACGCTAACATTATCGAGAATCATCTCAGAACTTTTTTAATGGAGGTCCTCCGCTAACCGTCTAGAAACAAGACGGCACTTGAGTGGGCACTGAATCTCCACGCAACCTTTCAGTAATTTTCACTAGATCTTTGCGTACATGATGCATCTAAATAGAATTTCTGCTTTCTCTCAGTGGCATAACTTTTTGCAGAACGTAGATTAATGTCCTCCGATATTATCTAGCTGTAGCTTATCACTCTTTTCCACCCTTAAAGGACACTTAGGAAATTACATAGTCAATAAAAACAGAAATTACAACATCAAGGTTCGGAATTTCTGTAAAACTGGATCTTCGCACTTTCTCCTTACAATATATTAGCTCCCAAGCCAATGCTACAGGAACGAGAAAACTAGCCATTCGACGATACAGATACCAATACAATCATCACTAAACCCACAATCACCGTTTATTCTTTAGGCAGAGAAAATATCCAGAACGTTTTTCCCAAATAACGAATGTCACTCTCACTTCATCACTTCATCACTTTCATCTACTCTCACTCTCATCGTACACCTTCCTCTTCCTTTTCAAAACCTTTCTGTCTACTCATTTCAAATTCAGAAAATACAAAATGCTCTAAATAGAACGACTTAATTCGACGCTGCTTAGTTTTAAAAGCTGCTTTGCTGAAAATTGCATTTGCCAAGAACGAAAAAGTACATTCTATGATTTCAAGTTCATGTCGGAGAAGTGGCCGTCATAAGTTAGAAGGGTCAAATTCCTGATACCTCGGTTGTAAAGATAAGGAAAAATATTTCCGAAATTTTTCTTAAGAAAATCACTGATTGTTAAGTATAACTGTAGTAGATATTCGATTCCCCGATATCCGATATTGACGGTTCTGAAGAAGGCGATGGCGCCGAAACGTCAGCCGCTATGAAAAGTTTTTGTGACATTCTCGTGTAAGCTTATCAATGCAGTAGAAGCTAGGAATGTATGCTTTATGAGGTTCCACATTTTAAAACACCCTCCTACGTGCCAAAAACAACAAATCACAGCCGGTTAACAGAATAAGAAATCAAGTTGCTTTCTTGATTAGCTGCATGAAAACAAAATGGGGTTTCTCCAAAGATGCCATGAAACCTTTTCATTCAAACCATCGTTCTATTTATTTCAACTTTATAATGGCAGTGGAGTACGTCACAACTTTAAAACGACGAATGGTCGCTCACCATAACCACGCAAGCTACTCCTCTACGCAAATTTTGCCCGAGCTCACCTAGGTCGAAGCACTAATGCATTAACTCTTTTCGTTCGAGAAGAAAAACCATCGTCGTTCCTGCATCAACACATGCGACTGCTTCTCTTTAGGGAAAGAAATTTCTTTACTGAACATCCGTCATTCCATTGCCTGCAGACGTTGAAGAGTCCTGTTCAATTCGGTCGTTTGCGCGGGTGGTGTAAAGACGATGACGAACGATGATAAAGGAAACAACGGATTGATATGCATCTGCAAAATTGGAGAAGCTGTTTTGTAGCTGCATAGGTTCTCACACCGTTGCCTCGTATGGCTCCTGTCTGCCATTGTAGTCTTCCCAGTTCTAATGCTTATAAGAATCGAAAAATAGCTCTTGATCTGGTTAGCCTTCCGAATTTTCTTAGATCCTCTCTTTTTTCCCTCATAACTTTTATTATCTTATAACGCATAATTTTAAATCTTTCAGCGTTGAGCAGAATAGAATATCCGGTGGCTTAATGAACGTCATTTTTACAGCTTTCTTTCCTCTCTGATCACCCCTTTGAGTAAATAGTGATAAACAAAATAATTATTTTTGTACTAAAAACAACAAAGTAATACTCGTACTGCGTAACCCAAGGATGCAAAGAGACTAAGTAGGATTTGTAGGAACCGATTTAGGTGACGTAAGCTGGAAATCTTGTTCGTTTTCCGTACTTGACACTGTTTCATAGTGAGAAACCTGTGGTAAATATACGAAATAAAAAGCAGAACATCTGCTGGAACATAAGCGTTCGGGGTTAGTTGAACCGCAGCTAACCGAATCGGTGTGGCCGAGAGTTTTAAGCCATAAATCTAAGTTGATTCTCTAGTTTTCAAAAAAATCGTCCACATGTCAATCATCAATGCCTACTATAAGAGATCGATGATAGAGGCAAACAATCTGGGCGTATATGAGTTCAGGGGTGTATGGTGTGAGGATACAACAGGTTTTGCTTACAATCACTATCGTTGCGCTGAGTGATTGCTTGGCGAGATGGCCGCAAACTCGCAAAAAAGCCAGCGGCGGAACTGAAATGGCGGCAGCGTATAAAAGCGCAGACCTGGATGAATAGCCGCTCGGTCCGTGTACTCTAACTCACTCCACTCCCTTATAATCACAAGTTTTCCGGTTATGTATCTTGTTATGTTAGCACTTTCTAGTCCTGTAAATGGTCGCCGTGTAAAATTCCTGTAATTCATGTGGATCAATAAAGTTTTCTAGTTACTGTGGTGGTCTTCGGTTTGCTACTTTGCTACTGCTCCGCTTTAGTCCTTGAAATGAATTCAGAACAGCTTTCATTATTTTCGAATTTACTGTTACGTTTTATTTGGTCAGTTTCCCAAAAGGTTAACTTGAAGCACATCAGATGATGCTGGACATGAGGCTCGTTCTAAGCACATTGTCCTTCGTCATTGTCACCTACGCTTCTCCAGCTGTTTTGAGGTCTTTCACAATTTTTAGTAGCACAAACTTTTCACTTCACCTTACTCCACTACTGAAATTTTCCTTATTTGGTTATTTGCAGTGAAGAGCGTGTTAATGCTATTTTGGAAAAGCTACGACGAGCTCATGCCATAGGAGAGTTGGCGGTGAATACTGTAAGTTTAATCAACATTGTTGAAAAGAGTCTCTAAGCACACAGGAGTTTTCTTGTAATACGATTATTTTGAATGTATATAAATATTTGTTCTATTGGGTAACCTTAGTGGTGAAAGCTCAGCTAATTTCACTTCATAGTTGAAAAATTTCAAAAAGAATTTTTGAACGTTATTTCGGATTTGTAGAAAGTTGGTATTTCTGGAAATTCAACGGCTTGAATCGAATCTTTTACAACACTATTCAATTAATAAAAATTAATGTGTTAACGCGTACTTCTCAAACGAATTCCTTTGACTTCAATTGGATGGTAGGGATTAATTAAACACTGCTTAAAATAAAACCACAACGTTGCTGAGATATTTGCAAAACTCTGGACCGCAGGTGTCTATAGTGGGGAACGAACGCGCTATTATCCTTTCCGGGGAGTAACGCGTTCACCACCACGCCATGCGGGTCCTTCGTTTCGCCTGTCTCTCAGCTATTTCTATCGATCTTTGCCACAGCAATCACCCGTCGTCGGGGCTGATTTTTACTCCCCGGAAAGGACAATAGCGCGTTCGTTCCCCACCATAGACACCTGCGGTCCAGAGTTTTGCAAATATCTCAGCAACGTTGTGGTTCTATTTCGCTTAGTAACCTGCCATGAAAATTATAGAAGGCAGAAAACAAAACGTTAAACACTGCTCAAAATGTTATCAACAATGTCATCCACCGCAAAACTGAATAATCGCCAAATTCTTTATTTTCAAGCCAACTGGAATCTACCCTATCAAGGATATCAACAAGGATAATTTCCGTCGGATTTTCAATTTTCAACCATTAGATAGAAAACATCTGAATGCCGATTTCACAAAACAGAGAGAAGCTGATGGTGAGGATGTCGGCCATAAGACCTCCAGTGGGAGCGCGGAGTTGTCGCCGAAAAAGCTCCACAATGCTGAGAAAGGGCAACTTGAAAAATCTGTTAAGGAAGCGGAAAAAATTACTACAGCGATCACTGATGCTTTAAATGCTGTTGCGGATATAAATGAGATCGGTGGTGGTGCTGAACCACATAACATTAGTATTCCCGCTACAGAGTCGATAAGCGTCAGTAATTCTTCGTCTGAAGACCAGGGTGAAGCTAAAGAGAATGAGCTGATACTGTCTCTTAGTGTCGAACCGAACGCAACCGTTATCGATAATCAACTAGGGGAAGCTGACAGTAACGCCACTGACGAGTTATCTGTCACTTCAGTACAAACTTCTGACGACATCTTATTGTCTACAGAGACATCAGACAAAGCGACGAAGCAAGATACAGAAAACGAAATTGAAGGTTCAGCGGAAATACTCGAGGACGTTAAAGAAGGCAGTGGCATTGTCGACGATTCTCTTTTGTTATCACAAGAACCAACAACACTTCTTACTGGTCAAGAGAATGACGAAAGTAAAATAGCCGCTTCAGCTGACGAACCACCTTTGTCCATGAGTAAATCAGATGCTAATCCTACACAAACAACTCTACCAATTCCTACATTACCTTCTATAGAGTTGCCTCAATTCCCTGGTGTGCCTTACATTTTCCTGCCAGTGAAATCGATTTATGGGAAAAAATTGCCTGGATTAAGCTATTTGTTAGTCCCGAAGAAGTATGAAAGTAATTTGCCTGATCTATTCCAGCCGGCCCATAAAGTCTAGTGTCGATAAAGTCTAGTGTGTTCCATAGACATTCTACTGACATTTGTCTTGCTTGTTCATCTTTTCGCCTTTGCGTATATGAACTTTTGTCCCGGTTTTATTTCATTTGAAAGAATGCGATAAATTTCTTGTGTTGTTTGTGTAGTAACTTAAAAAGTATGAAGTTCAACAGCGGTAGTTGTTGAGTTGAGCCAGGCTCCTTAAGAAAGCATGGACTTTCTCTCCACTTGATGTTCGCCGTCGAAGACGAATGTTAGTTTTATGATTGTCTGTACAAATTTTGTTGAATTGCCGGTTTCTTCTATAAGCAGATAAAACGTATGCTTTTGTAGTTTCCAGTGTTCCGACTGACATATTCCTCTAGTAGAAGCTTGAAATCTCACTTCTGGTTTCAAGGAAGGCTTAACCAATGAGGTTTTCATCTCCTTATCTAAAATTTATGGCTATTAAAAATATGTCGTGTGTGTGTGTGTTAAGAATCTTGGGTAGAACTGGTCAAAACTTATTCTGAATGTCTTAATTTCACAGGATAACTATTCTGCAGAATCCAAACCGGAGGAATTTTGCACAATCAAACAAAAATAAAAGTAGGAATATATTTTTTCACAACAGCTGTTCTTTAGACATCTTAGAAATGAAGTATTCGCAAGAGTTAGAACGAGATTAATTCACAGTGATCTTTGAACGAGAACAAAGGCAACTGAGAACTGTTAATGGAATGCTCGTAATAAACGGTGTACTAGTCCTCTATACTCTTCTTGAGCAAGCACGAGGTGTTATTTTATTCTTTGTTTACGGACAAGCTGACGTTTCGGCGGATTTCGCCTTCCTCAGAGCCTGCAAAAGTCATGTTGACCGCAACGAAATCCGCTGAAACGCCACCTTGTTCGTAAATCAAGAATAAAATACCACCTCTCGTTTGCTCAGCAACAGCATAACAAATAATATGATCGACGCCGTCGTCAGTAAAAATTCGGTCGTGGGAATAGTGTACTGCTTCAAAAACTAGCTGTAGTTCTGCAAACCAAATGACCGTTCTATTCCCAGCAGCGGAAACAACCTTCCCTCTGCATATCACGCTGCTCGTGCTAATCTTCCTAACAACGACGACGTTCAGTTACTGCTTAGCTTTCATTTAGTAAGTCCTAGAACGCAAACGTTTTCTCGAAAGAAAAAAGCAGTCCTCTAGGGAGTGTTCTTGAAAACTGTGAGAATTGAAGACATCGTGAACTTTGTCTGAGGGCTCACGTTCGTTTAATTCCCACACTTCGAGATGAGGCCTTATCATCCCATTTATAAGGGGTCAATGCAGACGAACGATAAGCAGGTGTTCGCAATGAAAAGCAACAGCATCCAGGTGTTGTTCTTCATTCTCAAGTTTGTCCAAGTGATGTCCTTCTTGATTCTGTGTGGTAAATCTTCATTGCATAACTAGTCTTCATTGAGACTCTATGTAATCAGTGCCTGTGTGTGCTGCTAAAATTACCAAAAAACACAAGGAAGCAGGTTAAGAGACAACTGGCTTTCAGCAACTGATCATCATGGCAGCTTGTAAACATTCCATAATTTTACTCCACTTCTATTTCACAACAAAAAACCAAATAAAACATCAAAACATTTTTTGGGGTCAAAGAGAAGCTGATAATCTTTACATTGACGCCTATGCCCATCACAATATTGGATATGTAAGTTCAGAATCTGTGATGGAGCATAAGACCTTCCAACGAGATCTGCAACGCCAAAGTTACGGAGTTCGTGTAAGCACTAATTTGCACTAACCTAAAAATTTGAGTCCAACAATAGCAAAAAAGTCAATAGAGGTTTCACTCTGTTTAACCTCCTGACGCTCACTTATACCAGGTGAGGCTTTTGAAATGAAATTCTGAGAAAAACATATGAAGAGTTCACATTTTTCAAAGGCTGAAATACGCTGAACAGGTTGAAGTATGATGAAGTACGGTGAACAAGGATACCTAATCCGGTCTCTGACTGCAATTCGCCTTGTATAGGAAGAATCGGGTCATCTACTGCTATCTTCGTACATAAACTACCAATCAAAAAAGGAATACTGGTTTTTCGAAGAATTGTTATCTGTATCCACGACGCAGAAAAGGAGGAGATCCTGAGAAACTGGTTCCACTTCTTTGTTGGTAAAACTGTTTTTTTCGCACGAAGACTTAATCCATACAAAGGGTGGAAAATAATTCTTGCCATGATAAGATGGAATGAAAAGAATCATTCGTGGAAAAGGAGCAGATTTCGAATGGCTTCAGTCCAGAGTTGCCCACGAAGTAAGAACCTCTTTAAAATTACTACTTAAGTCACCCTCTAACAAAAAAAACTACTACCTGAGATGTACTAGACTCAAATGCGATCCAACTCATTAGCCCCAACTGTTATTATCCAATTATCAGATTAGAATTAGTGTGGTTTCGACTTTGGTAAAAAGTTTAAATAACATTTGAAAAACTACGGCCGACATTAGAAACCATAACGTTCCAGTTTTTACCATCCTTCTCTTACTTACCGTAGTGGAAATGGAATATGAAGTAGAACAAATGCCAGTGAAGTCAGCAGACTGGAACATTGGACAAATCCATTTGTATAAAAAATTTTTGTTTAGACTGCACTATAGTCGGTGCTGAGGTTAAAAAAGGCCTTTCAGAGAAAAGTATTCGAATTTTGAACTGGAACAAAGAAAAGGATCACTTAGTAGAGCAGTAGTTAGCGGTGCCCTGCAATGTGCACGTGGCCGTTGCTTCGTTCCCCTTTGCTCACCAAGCCCTTCGTTCTTTCGGAGTCGAAGAATTGCTATCGGGCTTATCTGGGAAGATGGCCGCACCGTCCCAATGCATCTGTGGGCCATTGCATGTCGTTGTATAGACCAGGTATGCACTCTGTCATCTCTATCGATCCTCGATAATGTTAAGAAGACAGCGCATCTTTTAGGGATTGGTCGAAGCCGAAAAGTTTATCCATCATCCTGCACCAACACTACAGTAAATAAAACCCTATGGTCAAACACTGGCTTTTTATAACTGCTGACGACTTTTTCGTAAATAAAGTAGTGAGAAGTAGAGGATTTGATAACCTTGTAGAAGAAAGTTTTGTCGTAAGAGCTAAACAAGTTAGTTTTTAAATTGCTGAGTTTACACGAAACAGATTAGTTTTCTGAATTTCTCCTTGGTGATTAAATTCGTCTAAATTTTAAGCTTTTGAAAGGTTTAAAATGAAAAATATTCCTAAAATTGCCTGATTGCTGATGGCAGTGAACGATAGAATTAGCTGAGAGAAAGGCGAAACTAAGAACCCACCTGGTGTGGTACACGAGGCGTCAGCACCCGGAAAGCGTAATAGCGAGTTCGATCCCCACCTCAGACACCTGCGGTCCGGAGTTTTGCAAATATCTCGGCACCGTTGTGGTTGAGTCGCACATAATACCCTACCGTGAAAAATCGTAATAGGAAGTAAATAAAAGTTAATAACTTTAAAATTGTTAATACGCTCGTGCCTACTGCAAAGGTCAACACCCATTGGGCACACTACACAACTTTGTTCCGTGAAATCCCAAAGGTTCGATCGCTTCGATGACAGAAAAATAAGAATTTAGAAAAAGCTTTGAGAAAAGAGATGAACATGTATCGTCGATCCAAAAAGGTTAGATTTTCATCTTGGTAGGATAAGAGAATGTCCATTTCCTAAGAAAATATCTAGGGATTCATGTGGTTTACCAACCAAGTCAATAATATTCCGTAGAGCCAAGATATTTTTTTTGTTTTTACTTGACCCGTTTTCACGGCTGCTGTGCGGATTCAAGCACTTCTCACCTTCAGTTCGTTTCCACACATCCATCATCCACAAAGATCTTCCAACTTTACGTGTAGCTTCCGTTACTGCTTGAGGATTTTTATTTCATCTTGAATGTCATAGAATGCTGGCCGAGCAATTCTCCCTGGAGTCTTGAGATAGCCGGGCTGGAGCGTCCTCAATTGAATTACAGAGAGTGGTTTTTCCCAGAGAAGTCCGGTACCAATTTCCCGACCCTGGAGGGATGAAAGGCTTGGATGGCTCTGGGTGGTACCGAGTTTGCACCATGCTCGTGATAACGGACAACACTTCCACTGTGCAACCTGTCTCTTGAGCCGAGATATGCTCGAGTCGGTCTTTATTTTCGCATCGAATGCATTGCACTCAATGCAAATGCATCGTTGTGCTCACTTCGTCGTTCTCATTACGGTAGATGCCCACAGTGTTATCAGCCTTGTTTTCACCGCTTTTCAACACCGTTCAAACTTTGTTCAAGCCTTTTCCTTGCGTTAACTTATGCTGAATTGAGTTCTTCGGTGTAATGAAGACCACCCTGTGTGTGCTACACCAATTCTCGCCTTTTTCATTGATTAACTCGAGTGGTGCCCGTAAACTCTTCATTTCTCCCTGATGCGCCATAGTAATATAGTGGATTCTTTTCACTCTAGAGAATAGCTCATCGCGTCTGTCTTCAAGTATTTTGTGAAGAACTGAATCGGTGGTCTCCTTGCTGCTAACCTGATGCCTGATCGCTAACAGCTAATTTCTATGGGTTGCCGTTTAGGCGCTTTATGTTTCCGGCTCTAATGATCCTCGACATTTTAGCGGACACGACTTCTCTTATCTTCGGTCGTTGACGTAGGTCATTGTAATTCCTCTTACATGCGTGTAGCACGGCATACTCCCATCATCGCGCTCTCTGTTCCGCGTTAGAGAGTGCTGGGTGATCTTTAATTCTGCTTACGAAAGCCCAGCTTTCCAACGCATTCATTAAGGTGACATTTATCATATATTAAAGGTGGAAACGGAGACGGATGTTTGTGTCTTCTTCATTGAATCTTCATTGCTCTTGAAAGCTCTTCGAAACGCTCTTTCGTTTGCATAACTTTGGAGCTAATTAGTTCATCTTGCTAATTTTCAGATTCAGATATAGAAAGATGTGTAAATATTCGCTTCTTGAGAGCGGAAGGGGT